CCCCCCCCAAACGCGTCGATATTGCATCGTCTCAAGCGATAAGAGGTAGTTGTTCACATTGACTGGCAAAGTATTATCAGATTCAATATCAAGCTGCACCTAGACGCGACTTTCTCGGACAGGCTCTGCGGTGGGACATTGAAAATGATAGCTGCATCGGCATGTCAACAACAACTTCCTATCGGATGAGATGATGCAATAGCATATATGACCCCGTTAGGGAATAGTTGGCGGAGAATCGCCATTACAGGTTGTCCAGGGGTCGCATGCGTGTTGTTAGGATAGTCAGTGGGCGCGGCGCGGAGAGAGCACGTTCACCGCCTATCGTACCGCCTTACTTAGTCCCTGCACAATTACCTAGGAGCATGGCACGTGATAGCCAGCGTGGTTCCACTGATGAACTCATTGGCTTGCATGTACATTTCGTTATAAGAAGTTCATGCCTGCAGCGGTCGGCTACTTGTCATGGTCAGTACATCCCACACCCATAATGGCTTCCTCGCCATCCAAATGGTGGCAAGAGCCCACCGAAGCCGACCTCGACTACGGATTCGATTCTGACGAACTGGATACCAGATATAACGAATCTGATCGAAACACCTCCCACGAAAATAAAAGCAAACCGAGAGACAATAAGAGAACAGACAAGAAGGGTGTGATTGCAAGCATGGCTTCTTGGCTCCACCGCCAGGCTGGTTCGTCCCACGGACAGCTTGCGACAGCGGCTGTTGTATCCGGCGCAGCTGTCGCTGGTGCTATCTTTGGATACCAGTCATACAAGCGCAAGGAAGCTGTTCATGACCTGAAGGCTTCGATCCCAAGTCTAGATGATTTGCATCCTGCGGAAATGGTGAGCTGCGCTGGTGAAGCTGCGCATTCAATGCTTCGCTAGCTACAGGACAAAAAAAGCTGATTTACTGGATTATAGCTCACCGATTTTGGCGCTGCCTCCAATGGAATCAAGCCGAGCAAGGAAGACGAGCGCAGTGCAGCTTTGGCTCGAAGAGCGCAGCAGGGAGACTACGATGACGGTATGTGATATGTGACCTTTCTATGACTTGCTTCTACGAACCTATCTCACTCGGCCTGTCTCGCTTTGGTAGACTTGATTCTTGAACAACTCGCCCGCAACCGCGTGTTCCTCGGCGACGAAGGCCTTGCTAAGCTTCGATCGTCATTCGTCGTCGTTGTCGGCTGTGGTGGTGTCGGTTCGCATGCTGCTGCCTCACTCGCCCGATCGGGCGTGTCTAAAATCCGGCTTATCGATTTCGATCAAGTCACATTATCATCGTTGAATCGACACGCTCTTGCGACATTAGCTGATGTTGGCACACCAAAGGTTCATTGTATCCGGAGGCGATTGGAACAAATTGCACCGTGGGTCGCCTTCGATTGTCGGAATGAGCTCTATGGAAAGGCCACGTCTGAGGATCTCCTTGGCCCGTGGTCTCTGACACGCGATGGGGAGGGCCGGCGACCAGATTTCGTCTTAGATTGTATCGATAATCTTACATCCAAGGTAGAGTTGCTATACTACTGCCACTCGAACTCGTTGCCTGTTATTTCGTCGATGGGTGCAGGATGCAAGTCGGACCCGACTCGCGTTGTGGTCGGTGACATCTCGCTCAGCACTGACGATCCTTTGTCCCGCAGTACACGTCGCAGACTGAAGCTTCTTGGTGTTTCCTCTGGCATTGCAGCCGTGCTCTCCACAGAGAAACCGGGCCCGGGCAAGGCTACTCTACTTCCTCTCCCCGAGCATGAATTCACCAAGGGTCAAGTTGGTGAACTTGGAGTTCTTCCTGACTTCCGAGCCCGCATCCTCCCAGTACTGGGAACTATGCCTGCAGTGTTTGGTTACACAGTAGCCAACCACGTTATCTGCACTATTACTGGCTACCCACTTGACTATAACATGGGCGCCAAGGGCCGCGAGAAACTCTACGATACCATCTTGGGTGCTTTGCTAATCTTGCATGAACGAATGGTTAAACAATTCACTGGTCAAGATACCGTGGGGCTTCGTCTCCCGCTCAGCAAGGATGATATTGCATTCGTTGTGGAGGAAGTATACCGGGGGAAGAGTGCGATCAGTGGCTTGTCCACCAGACTGGCTCTCATTCCCTGGCAAACCCCTGCTCACGGATGGAACATGGATCTGAGCCTCGAGAAAGAGGGACAAAAGACCATCCCGATATACATCAATGATATGGTCTGCGTGACCAAGGAGGAAGCCCTCCACCACGAGCAGGAGGTGCTTAAGGGCGGCAAGAAGGTGGAAGAGGTATATGACGAGGCTGTTCTCCAGCGTGTAAACCTGCGCAGACGGGAAGCAGAGGAGTATGATCAGTACCGGGCATAGAGTAAAATGTACAAATAAATCAAAAGAGCAATCAAGTTTGAAACATCAAAAACATAAATAACCCAAGCATTACCACCTCGGGAGCTACCAGGAGAAAGCGGGTCTTAAAGAAGTACGTCAGAGCCGCGAGGGTTAATTTCTGCCTAAATCTTCACATTCATCTACTCCCGCTCAATTTCACCGAATAAATGCTGTACATATGAAGTATACAGTACAATTTGATTCAAGGATATAAAGCCTAAATTGGGCGCAGGGCCATGGCGTCTCGCGACTCCTATCCGCTGGACTTCGAGTCTAACAGCGCAGATAGCGACCTCTACCCGACGACAGCTCACCATCCCTCCCACTCAAATCAATTTCCACAATATTCTCGCCCACTGATTGATTCTGCCAGAAACGCATGGCAGACCAGAGCCCCTGAGGGTTCCCAACACACCTCCAGCTCCCCCGCAGATGACATCAAATCCCCGGGATGGTCCCAAATGGCTTCCGCGCCGCGCTTTCGGCAAATGCTAACCTACGGCGCGTTGTTTATATTTGCATGGATCGGTTGGCGAATGCTGCTTTCTCCGCGACTACAAGGGCAAAACTCACTCAATCCGACATCTAAGGCGGAGATAGGTGGATGGTTCGGGGCAAATTCGTCTCCACAGTTCGACGGCTTGGTTCGCATCCGTACATTGGACCCAGACCTGGTGCCTGGGGACCTGGCGAGGGTGGATTCGGGGGAATCTAGTCGGAAGCGGCTAATAATTGTGGGCGATGTGCATGGATGTAAAGAGGAGTGTAAGTGATACCCCCTTAACCTCAGGAATCCTGGGAATTAACGAGCCTATAACAGTGGTGCAACTTCTTGAAAAGGTCTCGTTCAACCAGAAAGGCAGCGATCACCTTATCTTTGTTGGCGACCTGATCAACAAAGGACCAGACAGTACAGGAGTCGTGGACTTAGCTCGGGAGCACTCGGCATCTAGTGTCCGTGGGAACCACGAGGACCGGATTCTGCTTCTTCGACACGAAATGGCGAAGGCCAAAACTCTCACAATCCCCGATGACAAGAAGTACTCTGGTTTCTCGTCCAAAGAACTTCGGGAACGTGCACTTGCGCGGTCTTTGAGCGACGAGCAAGCTCAGTGGCTGGAGAACTGTCCAGTGATCTTGAATGTCGGCCAAGTTCCAGGCATGGGCCAGGTTGTTGTCGTTCATGCGGGACTAGTACCGGGCATCGAGCTTGAGAATCAAGACCCGTCTAGCGTGATGACCATGCGGACTATTGATCTAGACACGCACATTACCAGTCCGAAAAAGAAGGGCACGAATTGGGCTAAAGTATGGCTTCTCTTTCTATTAGACTTCTTGTCGTCATACTGATATATTTCCAATCTAGTCGTTTAATAAATATCAATCAAAGCTGTACTCGAGCCTCGAGACTTCAACTGAAGATCCTTTTGCGAACGCCATGACTGTTGTCTATGGTCACGATGCTTCTACTTCTCTTTCTATCCGCACGTTCACAAAGGGACTTGACTCGGGCTGTGTGATGGGGGGGAAGCTCACAGCTTTGGTGATAGAGGATGGCGGAAAGCAAAGTATTGTACAGGTATCATGTCGTGGCGATCTCTAGGAATGATAGTTCTTCGCAGTTGTTGTAGTAACAATATATTAGAGCGCTAATATATGATTTGTTCTTAGCTACTCCTTACACTACCTTATAGAAGCTCTAGACAGACTACTGGGTCATTCTTAAATTAGGCTTTCCTAGGCTTACCGATCCATGGTAATCTAAGCTCCTAACAGCTTCGCCGCTGCAGCCTAAATGCCGGCTCTAAAGATCCTTTACCTAGGTGTAGTGATATCATTCCATGTCAACAGCTAACCACCTATGCGTCACTCGAATAATCCTTTTAGAGCGACATATAGCATTTAAGGGACTACTCTAAGGTCGACCACTCCTCTTTCCCTGGAGCTATATCCTGCATTCCTGGGAGCTATAAGTCCGCTGGGAATTACGAGTCTGATCCGTAGGAGCGACCAAGAGCGTGTTTTGATAATAATTCCATATTGCATGACAATGAAGCGTTTCTACCACAATCTGTCCTACCTAGTGCCGCATGGTTCAGGCATCCAACAGTTCGCAATGACATCCGAAAATCTTCAAATATGACAGGAAGACACACATAGCCTCAACTTAATGACTCAGGTACAGGAAGAACATTTCTAGGCCTAGAAATGACTAAGCACAGTGACATGTTCTTAAACTCGTAGTGCAAGCTCTTGCTTATCCCTGAGCCCGATAGAGCATCATTCAGTATCCTGACGCTGGGGCTTGATGGCGCAATCAATCTTATTGCAGCACTGATTGCCATTCTTCCAGATGCAGTTATTCGCATCATCCCTGATGTCACAAGGCACTTCCGTGAGCTCGAATTCAATGCATGAGTCCGTGGCACGGGTATCCAAGCTAATCCCCGGACTAATATCTGGACAAGCCTGCGTGAGACCGTCGGTGAATCCGGTAAGACAATATTTTCCGCAGGGCCACTTGGTGACCGAGAAATTTCCGGACTTGGAAAAGTCGGGTGTCTTGCTAATATGCCCGCCGTTCTGTTTGTTGTCAAGCCACTGCCCCCCGTCGGTTGCGGCTGGTAGCGTGCCGTGGAGGTCTTTGATGTGTACCTCGTTACTGGGGTTGATATGGAGGCCAGGAGTGCAGATTTGGTCTTGGCAAAATTGGAACTTGCCGGGTCGAATATACTTACTCAGTGCGGTTTCGGAGTATTGGTTGGAATTGAATGTCAAATAATTGTTCGATCGACCCGTGAAGAAGTAGCATTTACCTGCACATTATCAACCACCTTGCCTTGGAAAAATAGCAGGAAAAAAGAACGAATGTCGATTGTGTTAACATACCAGTCTTCAAGCCCGACTCACACTTCGCAGGCTTACAAGTACCATCTACAGCCTCTTCCAGGCCATTGGGACACTGGCAGATCCCATCAACCATCTCTTTGCCATTGGGGCACAACCTCTTACAGGTCTTACCGTCGAAGGTGGAACCCTCCAGACAGCACTCAAAGCCCACATCCAAGGAGCCGGTCACATCATGGCCGTTGCCACAACAATGCCATTCCGTGTCTTTGGATCCCTTGAGACTGGCACCCGGCGGGCAGCAGGTGCCGTGCTTTTTGTCAGCACTCAGGCTAAGGACCCTGTTGGGACCAGCACATATCAAGATTCCTGTGAAAGGTCCGTCAGGCCATGTCACTTTGTCTCCGTCTATGACGAAGTTGTCGCCAATATCTCTGACTGGGACTTTCTCGGCGTATGCGAGGCGAGAGCGCAGAAGAAGAACGAAGCCGATCAAAGAAAGGCTGCGCATGATTGTGTGATAAAGGCCGATCATAGAAAGATACGAGTGATTGAGATAATTGATTCACAACGATTGAGTGGAGGGCTTGGGCTCTTTATATCTTCTCTCTCTGACTCTGGAAAATGGCAAATCACTTGCCGTTTTATCCTGCATGATTTTCTAGTATTTCCCTTCTAGTTCAAGTTGCACCAGGAAATGTCAAATGATCACTCAATCTGCAAATGATCACTCGACCTTCAAATGGCTTGCCGGGCTTAGATTCCAGAGAGCTGGCGATGTAACAGCAGCCAGTGAAAAAAGCAATGACCTGAATCTTGCACCGAACAGGCTGCCTGACGGGGTCTCGACCATCGGTAACGTCACAATTGACAAGGACGGCTTTACTAGTAAAAGCTATCTTCGAGTTTCTGAAACTTACAGTAGTAGTCATTGTGTTTGACATTGCTTCAGTTCAATCTACAGAGTACCCTTGTAGGGCAGACGGAGATCTGGAAATAGATAGCTGCATATGCCAAGCGCACATTGAACTTGAGAACAACTACTTGAGAGCCACATGATGACCTGAACCAATCTTAGTGTACGCTGCCTACACAGGGCAAGTTTCACACACTTGGAATTGTGATTCGTGGGTTCGTTGGTGTAGTATGAAGGACAACGGTAAGCTGAGATTCCACCTGCAGAAGCCATAGGCATCAATGCTCGTATCTAGCAGTTTGCCTGGTACAGTGGCTGGCAGGGCATCACGAGGTATTCTTCACATAGCATGCTCGACAGGCTCTCTTTCCTTCCTTGGCACCAGACATTGGCCCCATCGCTGACCCTTCTGTGGGACAGGCCCGAGATAGACTCATGCATCTCGTACATACCTCTGCAACATGCTCCTGCACCGACGATCACCCGACTGACATCCGTGTTTATGATTGTAAGTTGACGCTAGGGGTCGACGCAGCTAGAGCTGGCTATGACACTCATAGAGGGTCCGGATCCTGGACCCTCGACCCGCCAAGGGAACCGCCAAGAACACTCGATTTTACACAAAGGTGTATAAAGCACAACTTATTACCAGGTTATTTCCTAATTAGGGTGGTTTATACGCTTTTTGATCACTGAGTAAAACTGAGCACGTCCGTGTCCTATTTGGTCACGTGTTATTATATAATTAACGGATCTGCTTACTGAGTATCACGTGAGCGCTCTGATTTGATCACTGCGTGCTCACTGAGTAGGTGGGGATGAGCGGCCAGAGTGAGCTGCATCAATAAAATGCGATACGCCAGCCCCATCACGTGCAACCCCTATTTAGATCGACCATCGTCCTATCAAAAAAGGACTGGCGCCGTTAACGTTAGACTGTCACATCGCCCGTCCACGGGCATGCCCACTATACCAACCGCTATATCCTATATAAATATAAATTGGTTATATAGTAAAATATACTATATATATTCATATATATCTTATTAAAGATCCAAAATTATTAGTATAAGTATATAAAATATACGTGTTAAATTAATTTTGCTTACTAAAATCGCCCACGGGCGCCCATAGTGGGCATTGCCCGTGGGCGTATAAGGTGGTGCCCGTCCATGGGCCTATCTATCTGCCCGCGGGCCCATTGCCCACTTATATAAGGCCCGTGGGCAATGCCAACCCGCCCGTCCTTGGGCGATGTCGCAGTCTAGTTAACGTGATCGTTCATCATAGCGGTCTCATGCCTACAACATAGGACATCTCTAACCTGGATGAAATAACTTTTTGCTGTAGACTTGGGGGGTGCCTAGATATTAGGGAAAATGCGCTAATTTGGATTGGAGACTGTTGTCTACCCAATAATATTCAATAAACACCCTACTTCTTCAAGTTATTTAAAAAGAATCATTTCGTTATACGGAAGCCATTGACCGGGGTCAAATGTAACGCTTGCTAGGCTTCCATTTTCCGGGGGACCTGACTAAATTTCGGACGCACCCAGGCTAAGAATCTGACTGCCAGTCTACCCGATTGGGCTGTCTTGGAGTCAGGATCGGCGTGTAAGCTTATACAATAGTACTGTTTTTGCTGATCAGTGTTTGTTTACTTTCAGTACTCATTTCAAAAATGCTTCTGATGCATTTGTCATAGCTCACTGGCACCTTGGCCAATGGGGGCGTCTTTCTTGTACAAGTAATTCGCTCGACGATACCCTGTCGGTTGGTCTCCTTTTCATTGATCGTATCCGTTGTTTCCTCTTTCCCCCTACTCCGCATCTCTCGCTCTAGATAGGACCAGTATGGCCTTTTCTTGTAATTTGCGTCATTCCCCAACGGGTTTGCGCCCCTAGCTACTCGAGAGGAGTTGCTGGACCCCGCTTTAGGGGGCATAATGGGACTCGGGTGGCGGCCGATCCCATGCTATAGAGGCTGCTGCGCCCGGTATGTGCATGTCTAGTCTTTGCGGGGTAGCACCCGGGTTTCTGTATGCACTGTGTTGTATGCAGAATGGGGTAGCGGGACGGCTGCTGCGAAGACGTACGGATCCTCAGTGGAGGCATCATATTCAGCTATTGGTCTACGGAAGCCACTGCCCTTATTGGTTCTTAGCTCGTGTTGTTTGCTTTGTGGATCATAATTTCAATAATGTCAACTTCATGTTCACAGGCTGTGAACTCCTCGAGAACAGTCATTTTATCTTCTATGTGATAAACGCTGAACTCATTTCACAACCCATTCCGTTATACCTTTTTGCGCTTATACGGAAAATAGCTTGTTATGGGAGACCGATATCAGTCGAAGCGTGAACAAGCAGGGAGAACCGATCATGCAATACCATGCATTATGCACCCTTACCCACCCTTGTCCATGTAGGTATTCCCATACTCTCAGCCGGGGTGGCCGTATTGTGCAAAGTAGAAGAATGTCTCCGTCCCTGTCTCTATATAAGTCGCCGAAGGACGCTCCCATGCACCTGGACATCGACAAAATCATTTCCTCCAAATACCACCAAACTCCTTAACATGAAGCTCACTCAGTTCGCAGCCCTCATCGCCGGTGTCCTTGGCACCGTTGCCATGGCCAACCCCATTGCCGGCCCTGAGCCGAGCCCGGTCGAGGTGGCTCCCCGTGCCAAGTACACCGTTAAGTGCACCGGGGGTCTGCACCCCGACGCTCGTTGCACCAATGGGAAGAAGAAAGATGGCTGTCGATGTGACAGCAAGGGAACTTACCTTTGTGACCCTTCATCTCTTGCGAAGAAGGGCGGCCAGTGTGCCAAGTGTGGCTGCCACGCGGGATAGTGAGTATTATTTCTGTATAGAATACCCAGTGCCTGTATGACGGCTTGAGATGGAAACCCTAACTTGGTCTCCTTAGATAACCTTGCCACCGGATGGAAGTGAAATGGGGAATGGGTGTCTATTCTTACTTGCAAGTGACTACTAGTTCGACAAACACAATTAGATAGTCCTTACAATACACCCGATTGGCCACCGTGAAATAATACACCGAGTCCTATCTAGTCTTCCGCGTAACCCATTTTGGGTCGAAGGTCTCGACCCAGAACCCAACTCAGACCCAGTGACTGGGGCCCCAGAAAACCCAGTATAGGCCTAGTTCGACCCAGCTTCTAAATAAAAGGGGGTCTTAGTAGTCATAAACCAGCTAAATCAGCAGAATCATACACATGATTAGCGTGTTTGCTTAGTTTGTAACCCAATTTGGGGCCCCAGACCCAGTACTGGGTTGAATCCTTCGACCCAAAACCCAACCTAAACTGGGTTGGGTCTGGGTTGGGTCTGGGTTTTACTGGGTCGTGCGGAAGACTAGTCCTATCCATAATTCAGAAAGTGATCTTCGTAACTTACGCCTATAGATGATACTCCTACATGTACCATAGCGAACAAGGAGCCTCCACGTAGAATCTGATCACCCATGTCAAGGACGTGAGTGGCTATGAGTGATTATAATGCTGCCTGCCAGTGCCAGGGAGCCGGCTTTTCCGCCGCCCCCAATCCTAGAATGCAACCCCTTACCTTTCCTTCATATAACTAACTATTGCCACCCACCCTATCGCATATAAAAGCATCCTTGTCGCACATCTCAGACTTTCCATCCACATCTCCACAACATAAGACAAAACCCATCAAAAGAGTACACTATCAAACTAAAACTACATTGAAACTTCATACTCAAGACATTTTATCCCAATTCTTCTCTATCATGTCATCGACCCATCCCTTGGAGTTCCACGCCCCTGGGTGGCATGATGAGGGACGAACACCAGTTGTGGATGGCAAGTATTGCGATCGCGCTACCGGCGAGATCAAGCTTGCATCCGACGACGATCAGGAGTATATGGGCCCACCCGCGGTCGATATTATCGTTCGGAGTCAGCATATTGACACCGTCAAGTGCATCTACCGTGCATCACGGTCATTTCCTATGGAGACTCTCCTGTGTCATATCATGAAGATAGTTGGGGATAGAAAACTGGAGCTGGATTCAGTCATTGCGACAACATATGCGATTCGGATCACCCTAGCACACGAACTGACGCCCGACCAGTTCAGTGAGATTGCACTCAATATGGCGAACGGGGTCTGGGACCAGATCGATTGAGGCATTGGTCCAGAAACATAATCCTGCTCTTGTATTGGAAACTTGCTGTTCCCGACCTAAATTCGAGATATGGGACTATGTATCTGAATTCAAGTCACTTCCCTTTACCTATACAAAATGCATCCCCCAGGACCATACCTCCTTACCATGATCGCCCACCAAAGTCGTATAAGCTCACGTTGTATTTCACGCTTTTATGTATGCAGCTCTGATTGCTGACGAAGGGCTCGCTACCTTCCTCGGTAAGCCCCATTCACCACTTATCGGTAATACGGCCAACGATCTCCTGCGTCACCGGTCGCGCGCTCCAGTTGATACGCCCTGATGCAGCTTCGGTCCACTACTTGTAGAAACATGGACGATTCACCCACCAAAATGATGTAAGTGAAAGTCGGTACCTTAGATCCATCCTATGGATTCCTTACATGCAATGCTCTGCTTAACTATTATTTATTGTAATCTAACGTTGTTCCCATTTCTTTCCTCCACAGAGAACCGACTGAGATTTTAATCTCATTTTTACTCTTAGGGACAGAATTGGTATTTGGTGTACCGTTTTACTACTTGCTTTTGCTGCAGGTGGCAGACTCCAGCCGCACTTGTCGTGGAAGTAGTCGGCCGCACATCGCACCATGCATCTATTTTTATCGAGAGATTTCGCATGCAGAAGATAAGTGGTTGTTTGATATTGTAAGTATAATATTTTGCACATTGAAATATTGGGCTAGGAAAGAGTGGAATGTCATCCTTATGCTGATTTGGGATTTCATGCACCCGTTCTCTACACTTATGGTTATTTTGAAGTTGAATTTGAATTGCATCCTCTTTATGACATACCACCATACTTTTACAGTAGCGACCGGTACGTATAGGTGCATATACAACACAATATATTTAGTGGAGGGTCTAGGGCCATGTTGACCCACATACTTACCACATTAGGATGTAAGCTGAAAATTGCGGGGGAATGGGGGTGGAGTACAGAGATGTGAAGTCACATCCTTCTAACCGCATCCAAGAGCCATTCCTAAGCCGGCTTTATGCCATCTGCCTATCGGTAAGTACTGCCCTAGGTAGGCTCTGAATTTCAGGTGGATTAGATGAAGTATAGATCGCCGAGTGGCGTATGGCGGCGCTGAGTCGTCATGTGGTGAATCCTAGGGACTGCTCATATTGTTGGATCTTTTCTCCTTCATTCAACTTGCAACTTGGATGGAGGAGACAAGCACTGGAAAAGATTTAGAGATACATCGTATAAGTAATAAAGTTAAATAGAAAATCGTGCGAAAGAGAGTTCGTTGCTTTGGTTTGTTGTACTTTTGTCCCCATTACTAACTAACATGCGCCATGCACTTACGTATTTCACCACTGCACCCCATCCAAAATGCGTCCTCCGCCGCCGCCTTAGCAGTGCATTAAACCGCGCGATTTCTCGCTAATTGCTCTAAACGGCGAGGATAAGGTAGGTGGCCACGCTTTCTCGGCTTTTTCTCGGCTCACACCCTCTGATCGTGGGATTCATGTATTCCGAGGTATTGAATACTCGGTTTCAACCACGTATTGTAACATAGCTTTTGACAAAAAAGAAAAGATTAAGAACGGAAGGGCATAGACCCGGTTTTGCTAGGTCTGGCCGCCTGTTTGACCTCCGGTCTCAGAGGCCGGAACAACGACGTACCAACCCTAGAACACCTTTTTAGCCTAGGAGGAACCCCTAATATCAACATTTGGAGCCAGCGGTACGAACAGCAACCTAATCCATGTTATTCCAACACACCAATTGACAGAATTTTGCTTGAGCAGCCTGATGTGATGATCCAGTCGGATAGATCGGTGTCTAATTCACTGATCCTACGGATGTGAGTAGGGAAGGACTTCGGAACTTACAGTACGAAGGACTAACACCCCCAGAAAACATCGCCAACACCAAAGATTCTAGAGCCTAGAGTCCATGCATCGCAAATCTATCAAGAAAATCTATCTCTAATTTCAACACGAGAATAAGCGTATGTACAGATGGCATATACCACAGTTTGACTATTCGGTTTCGGTTTCAGGATCCTCGGAGATCTCAGGATCAGGGAAAACAAAATTACCATTAGCGCCCCAAACGGCAGGTGGAGAAAAGTCTTCATACCAAAGACCGCCCAAAGCATTGGTGTGAACGAGTCCAAAGCGGAAATACTCCAACTCGTTGGGATACGTACGAGACCAAGTGAAATCTGGCAGAGGCTGGCTATCCTTAGGCCGGAAAACCTGGAAGCGCTCGACGTCGTTGACCAAGACACTGAGGCCATCAGCATGAGGCTCGAGGTCCGGGAACGAGAAGACAAGATTGTTCGCATCCGTCAAGGAAGGAGGATATATCTTTGGTGGAACGGTACCAAGTTTGGCACCATCAAGGAGAGCGCCTGGGGTTTGAAGGATCGAATCGAAGCCCCAGCGAGCGATGCCGTTTATAAACAGACCAATAAGGATACCCGAGTATAGGAGACTGGGCCGAGTTTGCATAGTTGTTCCAGGTAGGAAGAGAAGAGAAAGAATATAGTGGTGGATGCGTAGGTTCATATGCGGAACAGCGACAAGAATGAGAACAACTGCAAGAAGGACACCGTATATGCTTATCGTAGGGAAGAAGCGACCCTCGCGACGGAAACAATGTGCTTGACCAAAGGCGATTGCGATCAAAGACCCAACTAAAACGATGAGAGCTGTGAGAGCACCCGGTTGCTGCTGGATATCGTGGGGCGTGAGGCGAGATATTGGAATGCGATCGAATGTGTCTGTGTTCAGGGCGCCAACCCAGCAGCCGCCCAGCCACAGGACAGTCTTGTCCCAGTGTGCATCCAAATTGTTAAGCGTGTGCCTGACGCAGAAGTAATACAGCACGAATCCCACAAATGCGCCAGGCAGGAATCGACCGAGCGCAATTGACACGAGGTCATAATAGCTCCCAATCGAGGGCGGATCGGACGCCATCGCGACTTGGAACCAGACAATGAAATATATCATGGAATAGAACGCAGGTGCCGATGTCACAACCAATGACAAGATGGTAGTCCAGATCAATGTGAAGGCGAATAGCGACCAACGGGCATCAGAGCATTTGATTGGTTTTGTCTCCTTCGAGTCTGGGGATGACGCTTCATTACCGAGACGGAATGACATCGGGAAACTCGAGAGAAACTCGATACTTTCAATTCCATTCTGCATGATAGAATGGAAGCCTTTCTGTTCGCCGGTACGGTGCAGGATGCCACATCCACCCCTCGCATCATCGATTAGACCTGCATGCAGTGCTGACGCGCAAATTGACGAATCGCCGCGATAAGTGCCGCTGTTGTGACTATCCACTTTGGATGGCTTACCTCCCACGACTAACGGTCGGTAATTGAGCTCCTGATCCCCAACAACGTATGGTTCCAGGAGGATCGCCGCCGCACAGCCAGAGGGGCAGCGGAACGCGAAGGATTGGTCCTCGAATGGGCGACAAAGATCACCATTCAGTCCACAATTCGTGGCATTTCTCCTAAATTGATATGGTCAGATTCATGAGATCAGATGATCTGCTTGGAAAGAAAAATAGAAACGAACCATAAGCGTTGGTGACAGGACAGCTTAACGGGCTGCCCATACCCCGGAGCATCTTGGCCCGCGACAGAAGCTTTTAAGGACGCGAAGAACACGACAATCCAAAAGATTAAACCACCAAAAAGGAGCGCGATTTTTGAACTTCTACGGGGAAATTTCTCATCAATCAGGTGCGCCGGCGCAGACTGTAAACGAGGGAACCGAGGGTTAATGTGATAGATGTGCGCCGGGGTCGGCCCGCGGAGCCATGCACAAAATCCCGAGGGCGTACAAGAAAACGGCGGGTCGCGCTCGAATTTCTCCGATTGAGCCTCCATGTCACGGCCTTCCGAGGGCAGAAGAGGCACATCGCCTATTTCGAAGTCCAAGCTTAACTCATCGCTGTCGCGGGCATCATCCTTGTACTGCGACCCAATCTCCTGCAAGGGATACTCGGAAATCGGCGTAATATCCGGTGAGGGTCGCGATTGCATTTTTATATACAACGTATTCACTGAGCTCTGGAGCTCTCACGGGGAAGGAAGTTGTGGAATTCCTCATTTTCAATTTCAAACTGGACCTTAGGTCGTTGATCTTGGAATGGATTTCTTGGCTTTTAGTCATCCGGATTCCTGGCCCGGGGGTATCGAATTATGCGTGGACCTCGTAGATAGCTAATCTACTACTATGTGGAAATCATGTGACACATTCCGAGATTCAAACAATACGACGTCAAGGTGGGGGACGTGGTTTTTTTTAATTTTCCTTCTTTTTACGATATATACCGTCTCAAGAGAAGGGCAAAGACTTCAGAACCTATCGGAAACAAAAGGGAAGAAAATTTATAGATTGACTGAACTAATTGAGGAATTGAGGGAAAGAGAGACATCAGTCATGAAGATGAAGCGAAGATACTATCAACCTACAATAAAAGTCTTAACACTTTCAAATGAATAATCGCAAAGCCAAAGGCATGTTAACAGCGAGGTGGTCTCGGGAGTCACCGTTACTGAGACCGAGAAGGAGATAAATCAATTCTGGCAAACTGGTGAATGTCATTCAAGTATACTATCATCTAAAAAATGTCGTTTGCAGCAAACTTGCTTTCTTATTCGGAATAGCTTTATGCGCACAACATATTGTGGAGACTAGAACACTATACCAAATCGTCCAGCGGTCTTCCCGTTCTCTAGCAAGTCAATGATCTTTTGGATGTCCTCAATGTCGTTGAAGGTAGTCATGTGCGCTTTGATTCCATGTTTATGGCTGAATTCAATGGGCTCCCGCATCTGCTGTGGTGTACCACTGCTTGCACCCATGATGCGATACTTTCCTAGGAGGATATGGAGAGCATTGATTGACAAGTTCTCCTTAGGGATACCGATAACCATGAGAATACCATTTATCCTGAGAACATGTTAGTAATATGTTTAGGAATGGTCATATTCCAATTGGAATGTGAAAGCTTCTAACCTCAGCACGCTAGGGGCACTCTGGTACGCAGCATTCGAGGCACTCAAAACCACAGCAGCGTGTGCACCTCCATCGGTCTGACTCAATATCTCCTTTTCATAGCCCAGGGTCGAGGCCGAGTTAAAGGTCAAGTCTGCGCCAAGAGATTTTGCAGATTCCAATTGCGAATCGGAAATATCAATTCCGATGACTCGTAATTTTAATGCCTTGGCATATTGAATTGCTTTCCAACATTAGTTAACTTCGGCTCACCAAGGGGACGTGCGTTTGAATTTACCCAGGTGGCCCAGTCCTCCACATCCAATGATCGTGATCCAGTCTCCTTCGTTAAGTCCGCATTTTTTCACGGAGTGGTAGGCTGCCAAATCGGATGACTCGGTCAGTTGTTGTAATGGGAGGAAGTGACGGTTTCCATTTACTAACCAGTTATTCCCGCACAGAACAAAGGAGCGGTAGTAGCAAGGTCCATTCCCGCTGGGAGAACCATTGCATTCCTATAGTCTGATAGGGAGTATTCTGCAAAGTGTCCATGCGTTGTAAAGCCGTGTAGTCTGCCAGTTCCTTTCACACAGTGCAGATTGTGAACACGGCATCCTTCGCAATCATCTGTTGAGTAATGTAAGCTTGATGCTGCGCCTATTGTGTAGGATCCGTGCGTTGAAAATGGCCGAATCATGACATACAACAAGCGTAACTGCACCCAAGACATCCCACTGGGTCTCCGATCTTGAACCCTGTAACATTTCTTCCGATAGCAGCGACGGTGCCGGTATTCTCATGCCCGATGGTCACTTTCTCCATAGGGGGCTTCTCCGCTGTATGTCCCCAGAAAAGCATCTAGAAAGGTTCAGCTAGCGTATGGGCTGCATGCAAAACCACCAAATCATACCAGATCAGAGTGACATAGCGACGCGCAAGCATTTTTGATCAAAATATCATTCTCGCCGGGCTCAGGAATTGGGATCTCATTGATCTCAACTTTATTCGATGTCTGTTATAAAGCGTCTTCGTTAGCCTTGGGGTTTCATTCATCGGTGCTCTCTTTGTAAAGGCCCGAGGGAATAATCAGAGCCACCGTATCTGGATAATGATCCAATAACATACAGTGTTGTATTGCGCGGCTTTCATTGAACCAGACATCATGAGAAGCCTTTAGTCTTTAACTTGAAACAACTTGGATAGACTGAAAAGTACAAACAGACAAATGGGACAGCTTGCAACCCTCAAGTATTTATGTACTTGATATTCTAATACCCCACGGGGTGTGAGGCCGTTCCCCGCATACCTATGAACAGGCAAAAATTAACTAGATCGATCAAACAGTACATACTAAGTGCAACAATATGTTTTGTAGCATTCGAGTCATGTATTGATATTAGTTGTATTGATGCCCCCACGTACATATTGGTTCGTCTTCCCCAACTAATCCTGACTCGAATCGCATGACACAGGTGCTAAGAAACGCCTGTCGGAAATACTGATCCTAGCCGATTTAGAAATGATAATCGTACATCTCAAGGTTCATAGCTGGCTTGAGTAGAACTTCCCTCATAACGTCATTCGCTTGTCCTTTCTAATCTACTCATCAACATACACGTCGGATGTCCATTCCGAAAAATACTCCCGAAACGGACGAGGAGCAATCCAGTTACTCAGACGCTGAATATGTTTTTCAAATATAGTGTTTAACGAGGGACCTTCGCCCGTATCAACAACAATGTCTTCAGGGTCATATGGCCAATTGATGCTGACGTGCTCAGAGTATAACTCAGAAAAAACAGCGAATGGGTATCGATCAGGCTTTTGAATAAGGATGTCTCGTACTCGAGGCCTGTCATGCATTAGTGAAACCAATACAAGCAAGTCAAAGCATATTAGAGCTTACCAAGGTATGTTGTCAATCCACGCAGCATGCGGAACGGTTATTTGCGTTACAGTGGGCCGGAGCCACACGGGCATGCGAGCATAGCTACTATCGTTCGGCGATGCTTGCCACTGGACACACGGATTTAGCGAAGTGGGCGAGCGGAATAAAATGGGGGTCCTTACCCGTGTGGTTAGATGCATGAGGTACATGAAGGCCAGCTTTTCTGGAAGATTTACGTGAGGAAAAGTCGTAAGAACATCTGCCATAACTCGGCTTATTGCATGCGAATTTGAGTTGACTGTCGTCGGGTCTAGAAGATCTCGAGGACAGAGTTGTTCAGGACCCAGGACAGTAGCCGGGGATATACCTCGAGCTAGCATAGATTGCCGGGAAGCAATGAAGTCCAGTAGAATTTGATCTAACGGACATGTTGCACACGTGTGTTTCGGCAGTACCCAAGCCACTGACCCCGGGCTAACGGAGGGAGACAGTGGGCTGTGAGCGATCCGTGAGTTATCAAGCGGGGTAAGTGGATTCGACCTTGACTGTCTGTGGGGGTGGGGATGTGTATCTGTCTCATAGGTCAATGATGATCTTGCAATTTAAGCCGCCGTTCGATCGGCGATAGGACCTGTCACATACCGCTTTCTGCAACGAGACCCGAAAATGCACCTGCTAAGGGGGGTAATGTTGGCTGATGTGATTCGTGACCATGCATGGTATGCGAATTATTCGGGCCCATTGGTTGATTAACTGAAAAATATACGTCATGATCGGACTGGAACGGTTGATGAGCAAGGATAGGTTGTGTCTCTAGGGTGCCTTCACCCAGCCGTAAAGAAGGCTCCGGGAATTGCTCAGTTTCCTTTTCGGCTGTTTCCCCATCAGGCGTGTCTTGTGGGAGGCTCGTTTCACCCAGATTTGAGAGCTCGCCAAGAGCATACTTTCGGATATTTTCCAGGGAGCATTTGAGCTTCCGATTCTGGTCTCGCAGCAATTGAACTTCGTCTATCATTGTCTGCTCCCGCTGCGAAAATGAAGCTCTAAAGCGGGCAATATCACTCTCAAGTTCTTGAATTCGGAGTTTGGTCCGCTGGCGCAGGGCGCGCTGTGCTTTTCGATCAAGATCACGTTTGTGCTGTATTTGCGACGCGGTGAGGCCATTCACAGTACGTTTGCCCGTCGCGCGTGTCGGCGCCGGGACCTCAGAGTCAGACATTGTGCAACCAGGTTGGAGGCTTGGTGCGTATTGGATGAAGTGTATCAATTAAAGGTGGACCTGCCTTAGGTACCTAGAGTTATTGAAAATCTTTCTTGGGTTAGTTCGGGGGGTTTCTTGGCAAAGTCCAGCCAAATAGTCGCTCAACTGGCAAATCCAACTATGCGTTTGTATGTTGTAATTAGCCGGGCCAATTCATCACCGTGCGTCGGAGAGATAATTTGGGAATCCGTCAGGAGTACGACAGTGGGTACGTTATTCCTTGGCGCTGGAGCAAAATCTGCATGACATGTCCTGCATGACTCAGTTCCCGGCAGTTGCCTCATTGAGTATTAGATCAACCCCGTAACAACCTGGGCATCCCGAGGTCATCATTCACTTGGTAAGAATTAAACCGGGTATAGTAGCGAAACATATAGATATATAACATGAAACCATTAGCAGCAATATGAATGCGAATGCTATCCTGGAATTTTAAAATACTACGAATATTACAAACATGCAGCTTGATTCTCACCTTACCCAATTGTTTATCAACAATCAGGCAAGTTATATAATGAAAGAGTGCTTCATTCATTTGGACTATATATTGACTTTGACCGCGACTAGTATGTGGATTGCTTGAATACAGAAAAAAAGTACGTTCATTTCGTGCATAGCCTATCTGTTATGACTTCTAATTATCCGATAGAATATCTGTCTATAACCCCGCAGATGGAAGCCTAGTGAGCGACCAGATACCTATTGCTGGTGAGGGCGATGTCGAACGAGCCATAGAAGCCGCTCAGCAGGCATTCGCACCAGGCTCCGAATGGCGTCGCATGGATGACTTCGCTCGCCAGAAGGTGTTGCTTAATTTTGCGGACCTGATCGAGAGAAATCAAGAATATCTGGCGTCGCTCACTCGAGTCACTTTAGGCGCACCATATAAACCATTTGGAAAGTCGGAGATTGACACTGCGATAGGATGTTTCAGATGTGTGTTCTTGATTTCATTTGTGCTTTGGCAAGGACTATGTTAACAAGTAAATCAGATTATGCAGGATGGGTTGGCAAGTTTGCTGGTCAGAGCTTCCCAGCGACTGATGGCTTCTTTAAAGTCGTTCGAAACGAACCCCTCGGGGTGGTTGCAGGGTATGAACATTGTACCCTTTCGTCCACTGAAACCATTTCAAGGGATAGCTTTTAACACTGAACAGTATCATCCCCTGGAATGGTCCGCTGGCGTCTATAGGCCTCAAAGCCGCCCCTGCATTGGCAACTGGAAATGTCTTCATCCTCAAGCCAAGCGAGAAGACCCCATTAGCGGCTGCCGCGCTCGGGAAGCTTGCGATTGAGGCTGGTTTTCCTCCTGGAGTTTTCCAGGTTTTGACAGGAGATGGAAGCACAGGTGCCATACTAGCCAGTCATATGAAAATTGCGAAAGTAAGTTTCACTGGAAGTGTGCCAACAGGCAAGAGTGTTCAAGTTCTTGCTGCAAAGAGTAACTTGAAGAGAGTGACTCTTGAGCTTGGGGGTAAAAGTCCGGCAGTGGTCTTTGATGATGCAAACCTTGAAAACGCAGTTAAATGGTAAGTACTCCCAGCTCGCCATTATCAAAATGGTACATCTAATGAAGAACTTTGGAAGGTGTGTCAACGGATTAATCAATAACTCGGGCCAAATTTGCTTCGCTGCGTCTCGAGTATACGTCCAGGAGGGTATATATGACAAATTCTTGGCGGCTTATCGTACAGCAGTTGCTGCGAAGCGAGAGGTAATGGGAGATCCCGAGAGTTTGAGCTCTGAGATTGGGCCAGTCGTGGATCAGGCGCAGTATGAAAGGATTTTGAGGATTATCAACACTGCTAAAGCAAACAATGACGGAAAGCTCTTACAGGGAGGAGAGGCTCTGGGCACCAAGGTTTGTTGAACCCCACACTCGAGGAATCCGGTTCTGATATATTGCACCAAGGGATTTTATATCGATCCTGCTATTTTCCTCGACACTGGGAAGGATTCATCCATCGCCAGAGATGAGATTTTCGGGCCAGTTGTGGTTATCAACCGGTTCAAGACCGAAGAGGAAGTGATTGCTCTTTCAAACGCATCTCAATATGGTCTGATGGCCGGAGTCTTCACGCAGGACATCAACCGGGGTCTTCGACTAAGTGAGCTCTTTGACTCGGGGGTGGTTGGTGTAAACTGTGTTAGTACCATTCACTTCTCTTGTCCATTTGGTGGTACAAAAGAAAGTGGAATTGGTCGCGAACTTGGAGTACACGCTTTGCATGCCTATACTGAGCCAAAAACGGTCTTGATCAATCTCACATATTGAGTGTATAAAAGGTCTGGGGGTGACATGTGTGGCTGGTGAAGGACCAAACGGAGGGGAACCCTCGAAATTTCTCTAGTTGGTCAATGAAAGAGGTGATGAAGATAGACCGAGGCAACATGTCCTATCAACTAGATCATTCATCACCGTATGTCCACACAAGCCCATGAGCTAGTTAACTAGGTGACTAGTTCATGGGTTACCAATCAGATCTCTGAATTCTGTCTCCTTTCCTTTCCCTGAATTACTATTAAAACACATCACATAGTAGAAGAAAGATGAAATTCAAATTTACAAAATGAAGTTTCCCATACCATCTATCATTCCACACGCACGCTTCACAGAGATCATGCGTTGAGACGAGACTGGTGCTGCTAAGTTTTCGCCACATAACAACCTTATCCAAACTTGGAATCTTGCTCCTTGAAATTGACATGACACGGTAACAAAAGTCGCCCGATGAAGAAAATCCGATTACGTTATGCTGACGATATCCACATTTCCCCGCTGATATGAATGTAGGCGGAGCTAATTACGCACGAAAGGATAACAGCATATCCACCTATGTAGTCTCAACCAGTCAGTCTGAGTCATGGCTGCCCCTCCAAGTTGAAACTTGACTCGACCTAAGACGTATAGCCCAAAATTGGCCAAAAGCCGAGGTTCAGATACCAACACTAGGTACTTTTGCGTGCTTAATATCTCAGGCTTAGTAGGTATAAGTATGTGACCGGCGTTCCCCCCACTAAATTTTAACGACACACCAACTCACGCAACACATCATGAATCCTCTACCTGAAGATCACCAGTTCACTCACCCGGAGTTGAGTTACGAGGCTGAGCCAAATTTCCAACCAGCGATCAAGGTTTCAGTCTTTTTCCGCAAGAAGGAAGGAATTTCACACGAGGAGTTCTTCAAACATTGGCAGACTGTTCATGCGGATTTGGCCGTTGCTACCAAGGCCTTCCAGCACAATATTCTCCGATATGCTCAGGTATGAATCTATCATTGTCATACATACGAGGAAGCAATTCTTTCCCAAGCACATGACAGCTAGGTCAAGTCCTAGTGCACCAGTTGACATACTCGACAGCATCACCAAACCCCCGAGATGAAGGCTCGCATGACAGGCATAGGTGAAAGTGTCCTCGATTACGATGGGTGTGCCCAGCTATGGGTACGAAACTGGGATGGCTGGTTGGGATTTTGTCAAAGCCCGGAATATTCAGCCGCGCTGGGTGATGATTGCAATCGGTTCATGGCCATGCCAATGACCTATATGATTGGCTATGAAAATCTAGTCGTTGGCGATGCTTCTCAGGCCCTTGGTGGGAAGAGTGGGTTGTCGACAAAAGCCACTTAATGATGCTATAAACCAGGAACGTTTGATGTAAATAGCTACAGTTCGAAGCTTTCAATCGCTTTTAGAAGCCTTGCTATTATGTAATGCATGATAGTCGTTTCTCAATGACGTTTTATTGTTTGAGTAATAGTTTCTTACACTGTTGGCATACGAAGTAGGACAGATAAAGGTTGATCGGGTCAAATGCTTTGCACGCTGTTTTGATTGACTATTCATGATAGGCTTTACGGCCGATAAGCTCTTCCGCAACAGCGTAGTCATGACCAAAGATGAGTGTTGCAGAGAACACTTTTTGCAAGCGCCGAATGAATTTTCCACTATCAACCCAGCTTCGGTAGTCACGCAAAAGCCACCCATGCGCCCAATTATCCTCGAAATTCTCCCGAACGTGATATTGGTCTGTCGTCCAGATGAATGTACCATCTTTCGCGAGATTGACTTGCATGATGCATAGCCCTGGGGTATGACCAGGACAATGATAGAGAGTCAATCCCGTGCACAAGTCTAATTGCGACTCATTGAATGTTTGCCAATTCAAGGTACCATCAAGTTTCAAGTATTCAGCCCTAAGAGATGCCACAATTTTAAGTGTCAGATACTAGACCGATATAGCAGAGGGTTTGACCTGGAATGAGCACCCACAAGTAAAGACCACCATCAGAGTTTGTTCCAGCTGCCCAGCAGGCGTGTTTGAATTCTTCTTCGTGGACGTATATAGGGACGCTTGTGTTTCGGAAATGCTCCAATCCACCCGCATGGTCCAGATGCAGGTGACCCATAATGACCGCCTGAATATCCGTGATATCATAACCGGCAGCCTTGATTGCCTCTGGAAGATGATGGCTTTCGGTGTAGCATGTACGAGGGAATAAATCCGTGGCCTCACTACTCCATTGCTGGCAAATTATCGTCAGTCAGTTGAAGTCCGAAAAGAAGAAGAAGAAGAGAGCGAGTGATAAAATCAGTGCGGAAACACTTACCGCGTTAATGTCTTCGGTGCTTCCACATTCAAAAAGAATAAGACCCATCTCAGGATGATAAATCAGTCCAGCAATTAACATAAGATCTCTTCGTTTGTGAACGGGATTTGGATTGCTCGCTGAGCCTCCGTTGGCGCCATTCAGAAGCCTATATTGGCAGACAAAATATGTCAAATTTATAAAATCTCCGCTGCCTTTAGCAACAGTTACACATACCAGCCTTCATCGACAGTCAAAGTTCCCAGATTCAATATATGCATCTTAGTACCCTCGGGGCACGCATACGCAGGGATAACTGCTGGAATAATTTGACGCATTGGGGCGGCCATTATACAGGTTAGTCGCGAACAAAAATAATAACTACAGGTTTCAATTTTTTACTGCTCTAGTATTCATAAAGATAAAAGAGAATGGGCTTCCAAGTACACTGCCTCGGTCCATTTGCATTTTAATGGACAAATCCCGGACGGGCCCACCCTCCGATCGTTAGGAACACGTTTAGTATGGAGATATTCCAAAGATGCAACCAACCTATTTATCCTATATATTCCGCCTCTACGCATCTCTGGACACCGAGGTAAACTGGAGTAAATTGATTAGCCTAACAAAAATATATTACTGTCAGATACTACGTGATGATAGTCTATGTGGCCTCCGATGACACCAAAAATCCCTTGGCCGGGAGGGGTAATTCCTTGTGGTGAAAGGCATCCATAATTTAAAATAATATTGATTCGTATATATGTATGGAATTGAATGTCTCGGTGAGCGTGATGTACGGAGTGGCAAGCGTGATTTCATTGCGGAGATATATTATTTTATTTCCCCGGATTCCGTCCCAGTGCAAAGTTTTCTCTCAACAACAACAATGGCTGAATTCAAGTCGGCAAGAGGCCGAAGTGTTTGGTTTATCACTGGTTGCAGCTCAGGCTTCGGCAAAATTTTCGTTTCCGCTATATTAGCACAGGGTGATCGCGTAATTGCCACAGCGCGGAATATCAATTCCTTGTCAGATTTTGCTCACTCTGATAATGTCAAACTGTTGGAGCTAGATATCACAGACTCTCAACATGCTTTGAACGAGAAGGTCTCTAAGGCCATCGCTATGTTTGGTCAGATTGATGTTCTTGTCAATAATGCTGGATACGTTGTTTCCGGTGTGTTGGAAGAACTAAGGTGCGAGATCCCACTTTAAGTGAGTTCGTGATTTCCGGGACTTCCAGTTGACTTTGCCTTTTATGTTCTATCAACAGCCAATCCCAAATACTTGATCAGTTCAACACCAATGTTTTTGGTCCTCTCAATCTGACACGAGCCGTGTTACCGCACATGCGCTCACGCCAATCGGGAACTGTCATATTCATGAGTAGCATAGCTGCATGGAAAGGTGTTGCCGTGGGTGGACCCTATAGTGCGTCCAAATTCGCACTCGAAGGTATGTGCTTTGTAATCGTTCATTCCTCACGGGAGAGCATAGCACCAAAGATATCCATAACTAATCACCCATCTAGGATTCGTTGAGAGTCTACAGAAAGAGGTAGAACCTTTTGGATTGAATTTGCACCTGGCGGTGCTCGGTCAATTTAGGACTGATATCCTTTCCGCCAATCGAAGACAGTCCGGACGAGCTGTCAATTCAATCCGCGACTATGACACCGTTATTGATGCTTTCCAAACCAGGTTGGAACACACCAATGGCAAACAACCTGGTGACCCAGCACAGGCGGTAGAGCGAATCATGGATCTAGTGTATCGCAGAGGACATTTCGCCGGACAGCAAGAACTCCCTTTACGTATTGTGCTCGGATCGGATGCTGTTGCGCTTGTTCGGGATCAATGCGAGCAAATGCTCAGCGATCTGAAGAAGCAAGAGCAATTTGGAAGCAGTACGGACTACCCTACTACAGATGAAGTTGAAAAATATGAATAATCTCATAAACAGCATTTCATTTTCGAATTCTTGAGCCTCGTAGTTTCAGATAATAAGTAGCTTGGGGAACTTGAAAGAGTTTACACCGGCCGCTCGACTAGTATTGTATCATGACCACAAGGGCTGAACTAATTATGCCTGGCGTATTCCAAGGTTCTTTTAAGGTGGGGCTGTGAGTCTGAGTCGACGTGCATGACCGATAAGAAAGCCATGTTCCACTTTTATGATCCACTTAGCTTGCTTCCTCATTGGCGGTTATCCAATTACAGCCCGGGATTTCTGACCAGTCAGCGAAGGACAAAAATGATTGGTTGGATCTGGGAATTTTCGACGTGGATCCTGTCCAGGAAATCCAAAAGGACCTCGGTTTGCCGAGTACTTTGATAGGATTCTTAGTAGTCATACAATATCAGATCATGCAAAATGATGTCGAATGTGGGGGCATTGCAGAGCTTGATTTCTAATACGATCTGCTGGAAACTTTTCGAATATAAGAAAAACTTATATAACTTCTTCCCAACAATATAGACGACTAAATATCAACACATAACGGTTAGCATCTCAAATTGCACCTCATGGCTTCTCTCGTATCACCACTTCGCATCGGCAATCTCGACCTTAAACACCGAGTTGTTTTGGCTCCGTTGACACGGAATCGTGCAGACGACCAGCATGTGCCCCTTGGTCTTATGCGCGAGTATTATGCGCAACGAGCATCCGTCCCCGGCACCCTGTTGATCTCCGAAGGAACATTTATTTCGGCACGAGCAGGTGGTACCAACAATGTTCCAGGAATTTGGAACGACGCACAAATCAAGCAATGGAAGACCATCACCGACGCAGTGCATGCGCGTGGCAGTTACATTTTCTGTCAAATATGGGCACTTGGTCGCGCTGCAAACCCAGAAGTCCTCAGCAGAACAGGCGACCACGTTATCTCTAGTGGAAATATCCCGCTGACGGAATCAAGCCCTGTTCCCAAGCCTCTCGAGGAGGAAGAGATCGTTGATTGGATCCAGGACTATGTTCGCGCCGCGAAGAACGCGATCGCTGCCGGGTTTGATGGTGTCGAGATCCATGGCGCAAATGGTTACCTTCCCGATCAATTCTTGCAGGATACTGCGAACAACCGGACCGACCGTTGGGGCGGTAGCGTGGAGAATCGATCTCGTTTTGGCCTGGAAGTGGCTAAGGCTGTATCTGAGGCGGTCGGTGCTGAAAAGACCGGATACCGTGTTAGCCCTTGGAGCACATTCCAAGGAATGCGCATGAATAATTTCCAAGAGCAATTTACGAATCTCATCCATGGGCTTGGTGGATTGAAGTTGGCGTACCTGCACTTCGTTGAGCCGCGGATCTCCGGCAGCCAGACTGTAGAAGACTCGGTGGAACAGAACGACCAGTTCATGTTTGACGCATTTGGGAACTCAGGCGTAATCATTCTGGCGGGCGGCTTCACAGCAGAGTCGGCGACTGAAAAACTTCGACTTCACCCCACTCGAGACATTGCTTTCGCTTTCGGACGCCATTTCCTGGCAAACCCAGATTTGCCATTCCGGATTGCCAATGAAATCCCGTTCAATCAGTATGAGAGGGCAACCTTTTATACGCCGAAGTCGCCCATCGGCTATGTGGACTATCCTTTCAGTCCCCAGTTCGTGGCCAAGGCATAATCATTTCGTCCATAGTATTTATAGTGCAAATTGGTCAGTCGGCCTTTAAGCCTCTAGCTTTTCCGCGTCTTTCCCTACATTTTCCTGCCCTCTTCTTTTGCATTGTAATATTAAAAAGTCCTTCACATCCTAGAGAAATATGAACTACTTTTATAAGAAGAACTCTTTCGTGTTCAGCTGTATTGCTAAGAACAAGAATCCGCTTCTCTAGAGTCTTTTTAAGAGCTTTGGTAGACCAGGATCTTATGATCCTCCTTTCTCTCCGGTGATGTAACCAGGAAGATCTCCGACACCCATTGCAACTAGAACCCATAAGCCGGGATGTATGTGTAACCTACAGGCACACCTTGTTAACTAGGTGCTATATTGTAGGGCCACTGGTGCAAATACATGACGTGGTGGAGAAGCGTAACAATAATTTCCATCAGCTCTAATTGGTCTAGACAGCAAAATAGTTGCGGTAGATTCTTGTCCACTTTTGTCCACATTCTTGGCGTCCTCGGGATTGTCCAATTTGGACAAAAGCCTATTACAACTAGCCGGACAAGGATGTTGTATTTAAAGAACACGGCTTCGTAAAACAGATGGAGTGTTTCATAAATATACAACTCTCCTCTATTCTTGTCTATACTGAGAATAATCATGACGGTGACAAAGCTTAGTACTCTTCGTATCGCATCAGCCTCGGGATCGGTGACAGACCGACGCCATGGATTCGCGGAACTGGCCCGAGAAGAAGATCTTCACTTCATCGTGGGAGACTGGATGTCCGAGTATAACATGACAACCCGGGGAGGAGCAAAAGTGAAACAAAATGAGGAATCGTCGGAATTCGAAACTTCGTTCATGGAATCGATCGAACCCGCATTAGATAGTATCTCCGCGCGAAAGGTCAAAGTTGCTGTGAATGCGGGAGCCAGTGACACGAAAAAGCTCCATGATATTCTTGTTCAGACTATACACGACAAAGGTCTCGACCTCAAGGTTGCTTGGGTTGAAGGTGACGAGGTTTCCGATCTTCTTCAGCAGGCCATCAAAGCGGGCGAAGAATTTACCAACCTCACAACTGGTAAGAGGCCCTAAGCCCACAATAAGAATGGTCCAAATGATATTAAAGGTTACTGATGTGCTGTAGGGCAAAAACTGTCTGACTGGGAGTTCGATCCAATCTACGCCCAATGTTATCTTGGGGCATGGGGCATCGTTGAGGCCTTAAACCAGGGAGCCGACATTGTCCTTTGTGGAAGAGTGACAGATGCTTCTCCTACGATTGCCTGCGCGGCTTACCACTACCAGTGGAGCAGACAAGATTTCGATCAGCTCGCTCATGCTTTTGTGGCTGGACATTTCCTCGAATGCTCTACATATGTCACCGGTGGTAACTTTTCCGGCTTCAAATCCCTGCCTGGTGTTGGGGTTGACATTGGCTTCCCGGTCGCTGAGATAAATCCGGGAGGTGATTTTGTTGTAACGATACAGAAAGGCAAAGACGGCATGGTTACCGAAGATACTTGCAAGGCTCAACTCCTATACGAAATTCAAGGGCCCCTCTACTACAATCCTGATGTCGTGGCTATATTGGATGATATAGTCATCAAGGAAGAGGGCACCAATCGTGTGTAAGTTTTCATTGAAATACTTCATCCCAGCCTTTCTTCTTTTTTTAAAAAATCAACTGACGGTTGGTACAGTCATGTCTCAAATGTCAAGAGTATCAAACCGCCCCCGACAACAAAAGTTGGCATTACTGCACTCGGTGGTTTCCAAGCCGAGGTCCACTACTTCCTTTGCGGCTTAGACATTGAAGAGAAGGCCGCACTGCTTGAAAGGCAGGTCCGTCATCTCCTTGACGAATCGCTCTACCATACTCTGGTCTTCCGAACGAGCGGATCCTGCGCATCTGATCCTTCCAGTCAAGATGCAGCGACGGTGGACGTGCGAATCTTTGCTCAATCACGTTCCGAAAGTGCTCTCGCCACAGAGAAGTTCTTCCGACCTTGCACAGACACAATTATGCAGAGCTACCCAGGAGCAACATTTGCCGTGGATGCTCGCCAGGGAGTTCCAAAGCCTTACTACGAGTATTTCGTTTCTATCTTTCCACAAGATCGGATGCGTCATGTTTGCCATACTCCATTCAACAACAAACAAATAACAATACCATCTCCGTCGGATACTGTTCCATTTGCTTATGAGCAATCGTCATACGAGACGAAGGCTCCATTTGATCTAGATGTGTTTGGTCCTACTACCCGCGCACCACTGGGCTACGTGGTTCACGCTCGATCTGGTGATAAAGGATCCGATGCAAATGTAGGCTTCTTTGTTCGCCATGCTGATGAATGGGATTGGCTGCGGACTGTTCTTACAGTCGACAAAATCCGAGGATTGCTCGGTAAAGATGACGTGGGAAACAAAATCTTCCGCTTCGAATTGCGAAATATCTGGGGTGAGTCTTGCAATCTAAGAATTAGTAAATTGACGATGCTTGAATCGATGCTAACAAACTTCTCCTTTTCAGCTGTTCATTTCCTTTTGAAGGATCACTTGGATCGCGGCGTGGCATCGAGTTCCACGTACGACGTGCTAGGCAAGAATGTAGCGGAATACCTTCGGTGTAAATATGTCGACATTCCTGACAAGTTCCTAGCCCGCGGAAGGATTTGAACTGTAAAACACCGTTGTCAATAAATCCTCCCGTAGCGGGGTTAGATCAAGTTCTCGTGATTCAATGTTTATACGAGAGCAATGGAAAAAATAGTCACAAGACACATTCCAACCGCCTTAGAATTTATAAATCAGTTATTAAAGCGCGGGATTTGAATATCCGCGTGCTAAGCGAGATTATTCTTTTATGCGGTATATCTGTTCTCATAATATATTTTTTTGGACTACCTCGTAGCAGGAATAACAATCATGAGATTATTTGAATGTGTTGGAGTCTACTAGACTAACAGATGGGAGAAGAGAGTCGTCAACTGTGAGAGACAATCTCTCAGAAATCCCGGGCTGACGATAAATAAAGTATACTGCTCGTAAAGTCGGCCAAAAACTTGTATTATTCAATATTCTTCTCGCAATTTCGAGGAAGATCGGTTGGAAGAGAGAGTACATATGGTAAAAGTACATTAATGCAGCGAAGAGGCTGCCGGGTCATTTTCTTCAGGGCACAAGGGAGCAGAGGAATCAACACATGGTGCCCATGAAGAATGGTTGGGTAGAGGAAGTTGGTCAGCCATAGAAGCACACCGGTCCAAGTCGACGTCTGGTACACTCCCACAAAGATTAAACATCGAATTGTTCGTAAAGTTATCCGGCCATGACTGTGATGCCCCCGGTTCTGCACCGAATATGCCCGATTGAATCTGACCAAGCGCAATCATAGAACTTATAGAATTCGACTGACCGATAATACTAAGACCGCTAGTGGATTCTCTTCTTTGGTGGCGGAGTAGTTCTGATTTAATAGAAGTGATCACTTCCAAGGCTCGGAGTGCGTTCTTGTAAGCTTGGCCAATTTCGCCTAGAGCCTGTGAACAAATTTCGAGTTGCCTTCGCGCTGTGTCACGCATCTGGAAGTCGGGGGATAGGAAAGCGCTTTGAGTGTGCACCAGCATTGCTGTAAAGATAAGGTGAACAGTCTGAAGATTGACTCGGCGGAGTGAGAAATGGCGACGAATGGCTTGCAAAAGTTTGGTAATAGAAAGAGCGGCATCATGACAGCATTCCCGGCTGTGGGTTATGTTTTCTTCGGTTAAGCCTCCTAGGCCAGGTACTTGAAAGGCGAAAGGCTGATCAACAATAATCCGAACGGCATGGAATTGCATGCTATTTCATCGTTAGGATATTTAGCTAATGAGATGGTGCTTGAGTACGTACTGTAGCTGTAGGACGTGAGGGAGGTGAATACGACCTAGATCCATCATATCCACAGATACGCTTTCTGATAATCCAGACACCCAGACAGCAAGCTCATCTCTTGCTTTGGCTGCAAAAGTATAAAGCTTTTTGATGTCGGGCTTGGCCCCTCGGGGGATACTGTAACTATGTATCAAATTAGCGGAGGCAGAAGAACAAATTGGCAGGCATTCTGACTCACAGGACTTTGCGTATTGAGGCCATTTTAGTGCAAAGTGTGACCGTCCCATGAGCCACTTCATGAAGTAATGCTTGGGATTCCCAATTGTTGGCTTGTTGATTTTCATCAATGTATGGGCGCCAAACATCGTTTACATCAGGCTGAGAGTTGCTTGGGAAAGGAAGCTGCACAGTAATGTCCAAGTGGTCAATGGCTTCGGGGCGTCCGACATACAAGCTCCACATCCTGCGATAGACTCAATATATGATATCCTTGTTCGGTAGGTAAAAGAACAGGCTAACCTTTCATGGGCATAAGTGCCCCAGAACGTTGAGCTGCGAAGGCGCGCTTCTTCAAGATCTATCAGACCCCGTTCAGCGAAAGGGGCAGCATCCATATGGAGGCCAAGGTCTGTAGCAAGCCGCATCGCCATTCCTACAAGATACGGTAGTCAGTATGAGAAAAAGGGCTTTTTATACTACACATACCACTGTACAGCCAGCCACGAGCATCTCTGGTGAGAAGTGCCTCTACACCACTTAAGATGCCAAGAGACTGGACGGTACTTAGAGTCGGCGAATCCATTTCAACCTCCAGGAGGGCCTTGGACCTTGTCGCAAAGAAGTCAACAAGGGACTCTGGTAAATCGGGGCAATATCGAGAAGTTAAAGTAGCTCCAATAGCACAACTAGTTTCCGTTGCATCAGCAAAATTTCATGGTAGGGTCATTGGGTGATAGTTGTTCCTCCTTACATGGCGTTATTCAGAACCTCGGAATATCGATGATTCGGTTGATTGAGGTTTCGATAGCAATTCTTTCCCTGATAATATGCCCTCTCATCGACTAACGGAATATTCGGATTTTCCCAAGCGAAATATAGTTTGGTTAGATGATCCTCCAACTCTTCATCAACATGATTATTGACCCCAGCGGCCGTAAGAATGAGGGCCTCATTCCAGTGAACCAAGCGAATATTTGAATTGAAAAGTGGAAATGGACCCACGTGTGATATATGAAGATTTGAAGTGGGCCCAAAAAATCGCAGTTGGCCATCTTCTGCAATCTGCAATGATCCCATGCGGTCGGACAAGGCATTGATATGATATGACGATTCCCCGGATATGGATAAATGATCTTGGACATCCTCTGGACTGTCGCTCGAAATAGCGGATACAGAATTTGCGAGTGTAGGCGCCGTGTCATGAATTACCCCTTGAATTGTCTCACTCGTTTCGAGTTGAGGGTCGGTGGCAGAAGGAGAAGGCGTAGGTAACGGAGGTAAGAAGTTCCCTGGCCGACTGGATGGAAACTCAATATGGTGACGCAGTAGCAAAGACTCTATATCTTGTACATAGGCTACCAATGTGGAAATTTTTCCTTTCGATGCCATCCTCCGCTTGTCGATCTGTTGTGAATAGGTGCAGTCCCGTTTGTACAGCGTGCAGACAGAACACTGCGGTTTCAATCCGTCACATTTTGTTTTGCGCTTCTGACAACTACTACAAGCCCGGGTGACATGTTTTATTGCTCGTGATCGGGTCTCGGAGGCAAACTCATCAAGAGGCGATGTCCCGACCATGGTGTGGGACAAACTCGTGCACGTTTTCCGGGCTCTGGACTGATTTTCGGGAAACACTGTGGGGATTTTATTGACCAGACTAGGTTGCCTTGCAAGGGAAAAGAGGTTTCACAACACAGATTTTCTATCGAGAATCATGAAGAAAGATGGTTGTGGGGGAGCTCGGGTATCCTTGTCAAGGGCCCTGTTTGCTGACCTCACCGCGATAGGCCCCGGAACCCCAGAACCCCGCTTGATCTTCCCCGCGCCCCAATTTAATGGCCACAAGGTACAGTCACTCCCCAAAAGTTTTCGTGAACCCACTCCCACTCAAATATATCTCTACATCACATACTTAAATTAATTACTACACCATCAATATGATATATATACCTTTAAAACATAGTCATTATATACATAATTAGCTACTATATTAGCCTGTATTTTTATTATTATTTTAATATCTCGTATACTAGCCCTTAGTAGTAGTTAAGCACCCTGCCTAGGCCTAACCTACAATTTTACCCTATAGATTCGGAGATAGCTTACTTCCACGCGCCCTATTAATTTAAAGGTGTTCTTAGGCCTAGGGCAGAGAGTTGAAAAGTGTGGGTTGAATTGATGTGTAGTAAAATAAACGGGTATAAGGCCGAAATCACGGAAACCTTTCTGGTAGAACTGTATGCAGTCGAAAAACCCGACTTATAGTGGCGAGATGGGCAGTTTGGGCATGAGTGTAGGTCAAATATAATCACAATTCTGACATATATGCGAGAAGTTCTCTTAGGAGAGACATCCTCAGAGTTACTAGTAAATTTTCAACAATCACTAGGAGCATCTGAAGATTTCCGATAATACTATGATTGATTCACCAGACTCAATATAAAATAACCTTAGATGCCTCCAATAGTCACAGCCTTGATGTTTTGATATTCGCCGAGCCCATATTTGCTTCCCTCTCGTCCAATACCACTCTCCTTGACTCCCCCAAAGGGGGTTTCGACTGCGCTGATCAATCCAGTATTCACACCAACCATGCCACATTCCAGCCGCTGGGAAACACGAAGAACACGACTGATGTTCTCACTGAAAAAGTAACCTGCTAGGCCAAATTCGGTATCATTAGCCAATCCAATCACCTCTTCTTCGGAGGAGAATTCGAAAATGGCTGCGAGGGGTCCAAATGTTTCATCAGTTGCAAGGAGCATGTCCTTATTGGCGTGGGTAATAATAGTCGGTTGGTAAAAGTACCCAGAGGGGGTATCAGCTGGCACTTCACCACCGTATCGGAGTTGACCTCCCTTTTGGATAGCATCTTGTACGTGGCTCTTGACCTTTTCCACTGCGGCAGCATTAACCAAAGGGCCATGAGTGACCCCTTCATCGATGCCACGCCCCAGTTTGAATGTTTGGACTCGAGAGATCAGGCGCTGAGTAAAATCCTCCAAAATATCTTGATGAACATAAAGCCGGTTTGCGCAAACACATGTCTGACCAGAAGAGCGGAACTTGCAAATCAAGGCTCCTTCAATGGCCTTTTCGATGTCTGCGTCATTGAAAACAATAAAAGGTGCATTTCCACCAAGCTCCATACTGACTCGCTTCATTGTACCAGCGGCAAGCTTGGTGAGCATTTTGCCAACATTGGTTGAGCCGGTAAAGCTTATCTTTTTGACCTTGGGGTGCGTGGCCAGCTCCAAGGAAGCATTGCGATCTTTTGTAGGTACAACGTGCACAATATTAGGTGGGAAACCCGCTTCCAGAGCAAGCTTAACTAATGCAATTGCAGTGAACGGTGTCTCACTTGGTGGCTTGATGACCACCGAACAACCTGCTGCAAATGCCGGTGCGATTTTCCGAGTGATCATAGCTGCAGGGAAATTCCAAGGTGTGATTATACCGCATACACCCACTGGCTCTTTGAAAGTCACAGCTGTCGTGTTCTGGTAAGAAGATGGGATGACGTCCCCATATGATCTAACTGCTTCTTCGGCAAACCAGGAGACAAAAGATGCTGCATATCCCACCTCCCCCTTGGCTTCTGCTAATGTCTTGCCATTCTCTAGAGAGAGTATCTTGGCAACTATATATTGTTAATGACTAGAATAATTTGGAAAACGCTGGGGTGCACTAACGGTCGTCAAGATTCTCCAATATTAGGTCGTTCCATCTGCGCAGAAGCGAGCTTCTTTGCTTAGCAGTGGTGCGAAAGAAATATTTTCGAAATCCACGGTCGGCTTCTTCAATGGCCTCCACAAAGTCTTGTTGAGAAAAGTCCGCGCAATGGGCCAGAATCTGACCAGAGGACGGCTCAGTGACAGGAAACATCTTATCCAAGGCTGCATATCGCCACTTGCCTGCAAAGAATCCTCGATTATCAAAAACCGCAGGGTTTGCTAGTTCAACAGGGAATTGATAGTGAGATTCATTCATCGTGGATTTTGGTATGATGACTAGCTTTGCACTTTCAGAACCTGTGACCAAGATCAGCAAAACACAAAAAGCCACAGTACAATGGTGTGTACTTGTACTTCATGTCCTCCTTACTCTAACTTGTCCAAATTGGGCAACCGGGATTACTATCCCAATGCCGAGGTTATAGGCCGCGGTTCATCGGACAGATCTCCGAAGGAGGTTACTGGGTCTCCGCTTATTTTGGAACGATAGTCCAAAAGTATAAAGCAAGCAAAGGTACGGAATAGTTTGTATTGATTTATGCAATTCTGGTAGGAAATGGCGATGTAGATGTTTGGGCCGAAAAGGCGTGTTGTCTGGGGTGTCCTCCTACACTGTGGCATACATCGAAATTTCTTTTCCCTGAATTGTTTATGATATTGGAGAAATGCTGTCTACTTCTTGAGACCACTGTACCGGGGAATAGCTGTGATCTACCGAGGTTTATTTATAAGAGTGGAGAGAAGTAGGAGAAAGAACCCAAAAAGCCATAGAAGCCCTAGAGTTTGAACATCTATTTTCAAAGCTCAGTCATAGATTGAAGATAAGGACTCTGGGAAGTAGAAGCACCTTCCCATTACTCAAAACATCTTTAGAGTCCTGGTTTTTGGTAATGAATCTGACTTCCTCCAGCCCATCAACCATACCCATCCACCATGGTCGTGGTCAATTTGTCGCCAGGTCTAACAGTAAAGGCAAATCTGGCTCCAAAGAATTTAAGTCGACCTGCATCACCCGCGAAAATCTTGCTCACGATTCCGTAACATGTTGAGCTATATGTAAAAAGACCATGGATAATGACGCCGCCGAGTCCCATCTTCAGTCCTGGGTATGGAACCGCATGAGGTGGATTGTAATCTCCATTTAGACTATATTCATATTAGAAGTCTTGACTCCCGAGGAAGTATTGCGAAAGGCGACTGTTACCGGTAGAGAAATACCGTATTATCCGTGGTCTGGACTTCGTATGTTGCATCTGGTGCTCGGCTTGGAAAATGGTAAAGAGGCATTGTGGGGCCTATGAGACGAGTGATATGTGAGTCAAAACTTGAACTATATCACCCATCTGGAGTTCTTGGAATGAGTCGCCTACCTCTTGGGCCACCCCAGTTTCCTTGTTTCGGAACGAAACTCACACTTCGGGTCGTAGTGTACACTTCCCCGGTCACAGTATCGACAATCTTTTGCTCTGTATCAAACGAACTTCCCGCAGAGCCTTTGTCGTAAATTCCAATCACTTTGTTTCGAAGCTGGAATTTGGACCCAGTGCTTGCCGTCGGAAGTGGTTTGTGGATTGTTAGGTCGCGCTGTCCGTCGACAGCATAACGAAGGGCCAAATCGGGGGCTCCGGGGATCGTGTTCGAAGCGTTCTGACCATAGAACTCGATCACTTCTTGATCGGCAAGCTTAAATGCTGTGGCTCTCAGGTATCATTATCACCGTGCTTGGTATGTGGCTCATGGTGCGGCATAGTACGTACGCAGAATTAATAGATACGTCGGAAACACCATAAACTAGGGGTCTAGTTCCTGGTAAATGTGTCAATCTATTTGTCCTTTTAAGTATAGGAAATTATCCACAAACATAGAGAAAATGGAGGTCCGCAGCGGAGACGCCATTGCTGTTCGCGAAAAGAAGCACATCGCGGCGTAACCATGACACCTCCTGAGAGGGAAAGTCATATCCAGCGAATATGGCGATGGACTAATTGAGGTAGAATCTGATATCGGATTTGGCTCCTTGCATCTTTGTCTACTGACTTGAACAAATATTCAGGCGCCGATATCCGCACTAAGATGGACGGCCATTTGGACAAAATTACCCAACAGATGATTGGCGGCCTCGGAACCTCGGGCAGTCCGATGGCCAAACTGTTGCGAGAGCAAAGATCTGAAGGTCCTGTATTACTGACTTTGCCAGCATATTTAAGAGATCTTGCTGGCTGTGGTGGTGTCTACCTTATGATCCAATGATTGCCACATTCCAGTATCGGTACCTTACCCGTTCACCAACACCATGCATTATTTACCCGAAATTGACTGCGATATTCCAAATTTGGATATTTTCAGTCTAGTATTTGGTAAAGGTCCAATTATATGCGAATAGAGCAAGGAATCTGACTCATGCAGACTCTCTATATTGTTGGGCGAAGAGCGAAACAGTTATTCACGCAGAAGCGGGCAGAAGCGGGCAATGAGATGAACCACCTCACCAAAGCTGAAACGGCCCTAATTGTTCGCCGATTGACTTTTGTTTTGAGGAATGAGTTTGGAGTGGGGAATTCAGGCGCAGGCAAAGATGTTGTGACTTGTGTTTGCTCAAATCACCTCCTATCTCCATCGATCTTCTTTGGAGTCATTGCGAGCGAGGGTATATACTCTGCCGCCTCCACCGCATTAACAGTAAGAGAGCTTGCTCGATGGGTCCCCAACTGCAGAGGTTGGCCGAGTCTAAACTCAAGTGCAAAATCAGTCAGGCTTGGGGACTGACCGAGACCACAGGAGCAGTCACTTGGCTCCCTTGGGATCGGGAAGACACAACTGGCAGCACAAGTCAATTGTTACCAAACACACGTTTGAAGATTGTTGACGGGAGTGAACGTCCTGTCCAAGATGGTCATTCGGGTGAAATTCTGGTTCGTGGTCCTAACGTCATGCTTGGGTACTGGGAAAACAAAGAAGTCACAGCACAGGCCTTCACCGCAGATGGATGGTTTCGTACGGGGGATATCGGAACGCGCAAAGATGGCAAGTTTTATATCGTTGATCGGAAGAAGGTTAGTGTTGGACTGTACTCATTTCAAGGGCTCACCTAACGCTCTCTCTCATAGGAATTGATCAAATTCAAAGGGTTGCAGGTAGCTCCAGCGGATATTGAAGCAGTTCTCATTGAACATGACCAAATTCTGGATGCCGGCGTTGTAGGGATACCAGATCCTCAGCTTGCCGGCAATGAGATCCCACAAGCCTTCAATCGTCCGAAAACCCGGAAAGAGTTCGATAAGCGAAGAAGACGTCAAAAGGTATGTGCGCGAGAATTTAGCCTCTCATAAGCAGTTGCGGGGTGGTGTCAGGTTCACAGATGTCATTCCTCGCAACTTGTCCGGGAAAATCCTGCGCCGCAAGTTGGTGCAGTTTGAAGAGCACGAGAGGCCCTTGAAGCTGTAAAGTGTCTTTTTTAAAGATTAAATAGCTTTTCGATTCAAGAAATTTAATCGACAAAGGGCCGTCGTTGCGAACAAACTTGTATGAAACAAAAGTAGCAATCTGTTGTGGTGAGCGTGAAGGGATGTTGACAGAGGTTTGCTCCTGAGGTTTGATATATAATTGCTGCCGGCCACAAGATATAAATATAATCTTCGCTTATTTGTAGTTCATTTATCTCATTTCTCAGTACTACGATTTCTTCCTACGCTAATGTAACTTCCACTTCATTCTTTCTCCATTCGGTCTGTACTAATGCTTCGCAGTTTTTAGAGCTCAATGCGTCCATTGTGCAAGCCCCCAGTCACTGCAATATCTGTACCTGTTGTATACGATGCCCCTTCCCCTAGCAGATAACCTACCGCAAGTGCCAAATCCTCGGGCTGTCCAATACGCCCCATTGGAGGCACTGTCCTAAACACCTCCTGAAGATCCGCGAATTGTGCCGACATTTTTGTTGCGATGAATCCAGGGGAGATAGTATTGACACGAATATTGAACGGGGCCATCTCAACTGCAAGTGTCTTCCCTAAAAGCTTGATGGCGCCCTTTGAGGCACCGTAAATTGAAACTCGCTGAGATGGTATAGCACAATGGGCGGCGATGGAAGCAATCATAACGATAGACCCACCGTTGCCTTGCTTGACCATTTGCTTAGCAGCCAGCTGTGCCGAGAAAAATGACCCAAGGACCTGCATTCGTTGTCAGCAAAAGAAGCATTTGACTATGTTGACTGTGCATACATTGATATCAAGAATGCGACGAGACTCCTCCCATGTATGTTCGAGAAAAGGTTTGTCAAGCGCAATCCCGGCGCAGGTAACACTATATTAAAAGACTCGGTGAGCTTTACATATTTCCTTCAATGGGCGTTAAAAATGATTATCTCGCCAAACTCACCAGTTATCCACCTTGCCTAGGTCCTCAACCACTTTTTCAAAAGCAAGCTCCATGCCATCATTTGAGGTAACGTCCATTCTAGAAGTGCTGGATCAGCTTATATGCAAGTATGGATTTTGGTAGACAGCTTACCGGTGAAAGATGAAACGCGAACCATAGTCACTTTCCAGCTGGGAAACACTCGTTTCTGGCTCGTGGACATCTAAAATAGCCACATCACTGCCCAAGGCTGCCGCTGTTTTGGCCAAGGTTAAGCCAATACCTCGCGATCCCCCTTGCCAGAAAAGGGTCAGTGCTATTCATATAGCAGGTGCAAGTCTGATACCTACCGGTTATCACAGTCACCTTACCTCCGAGTGACAATTTGGACTCTATCAGTTCCCTGGTGGTATTTGAAACATTGGATGACTTGTAAAGGCTGGTGCTGAATCGATTCCTCGCAGTTGGTGTGTTTCTTGGCAATTTGCGACTAAGAGCACTAAAGCTCCTGCTAATGGGCAACACCCCTCGGTGAGGAAGCATTTTAGCTAAAGTGGGGACTTATTGGCAAATGTTTGAAAGATTCCATAGAAAGTTGAAAGGGATTTTGGTGGATACGCTTAAGTTTTGAATGCTGAATGAGCAGATTATATTTCCTCCAGCCAGATTGGTGGCTTTGCAGCAATAATATTGCACCGCTACCGTGAGAGTATTTGTAAAAGTCGAACCAAAGTCTACGTCGATCTACCCCGGATCATCAATTAGAGCTATTTCCGGGGTAGCTTTCCCACGGAATTACATTTCCTCGGATTCAAGTATCATCCGGCCTTTCGCCCGCGCCTATCGGCTGTGTCAAGGCTGTGATGAATGCAAAATGTGCGAGCAGATTTTCGAAACGTTGCTCAAGATAGCTGAGAGGTACTCTAGGCGAGGAGTAGGTACAGTGCTATTTTGTATCTGATTTTAACCTAACGTAAGTGTTGCCCCGTTGGAAGATTGGCTCGACGAAAGACCGATCAGTAGGGAAAAAAATTCACACACGTATGGCTTATAGTACGTATAGTTCTAGTACAAAGTTTCAAACAATATTCCAACTTATGAGATACTTTATTGGTGAAGGAACAACTTCTAGAAGCCCACTTGTTGAGCTACCTCAGCCAAGTATCTCTAGAGCATTGAAATATCACTACACTAGGACTGAAATGTGACTGTTGTAGACTAAATTACAGATATTTAGTAAGGGTCAAAATGAACGGATTGGTTCGACTCGTTGCACTCAAAATTGAACAGATGATGGCGTGAAATAGTGGTTACTGCTTTAATGATACTAGTATGAATAATCAAGGTCAGAGCGTGAGGATAAATTGGCATACAGCCTATCTAGGTTCTAAACATAGGGGCAATCACGTAACATTTGACTCGAGACAATTCCTAGGCAATCAAAGCACAAGCATGTTTTAAAGTATAGAACCAGGCTCTACAGAATTGAAGATGCAAGTCTCTGGTAAATATGCGGCAATTGATGGGCCAAGCTACCCTTTTGATGCCAGAACAATCCTGCAAGAGCGAAAAGAAGCATGCCATAGGTCTCCTTCTTTGTGCTTCTGATCCATCGCCACACAGTGTTCAGCATCCAGAAGTTGGAGCGAGGCACCTCCTTGAACATACCAGCCTGGGACTTGAGTGCTTCCTTCCAGTATGTCGACGCATAGCCCGGCCAGGATGCAGAGTTACGCCCGTGCGGGTTGATATACCAGTTGGAACATCCAGCTTCGAAAACACTTCCTTTGAGCTCAGTCTGCAAAGCGTTAACCCACTGGTATTCAGCGGTGGGCTTAACTTCCAAGGAATAAATGCGGCGGTCTATGATAGGTGCAAGCAATGTTCGAGCAAGATATTCGACCTGCACCTCGGAAGCGAAGAGTACAGAGTTGTGTGCTGGGAAGGTATTCGGACCAAAGCTATGGTAAGTGGTCTTAGCTTGTGGGACTTGCGACTTGGTTGGTTAATACATACAGCAGACCAAAGTTTGGGAAGTTGTGGACATAGACTCCCATATATGCTTGTGCGCCACGGGACTCTAGCCATTGCTGAGAGAGACTTTTGCCATCTTTACCATATACCTCCATAGGTACAACAAACTGTTGGACATCGAAGCCTGTCGCAAGCACAATCGCATCAAATTCAGTCCGCACACCATCGGTGCCGGTGATGCCCGTCTCGTCAATGTGATCGATTCCCACAGGAGCCAATTCGACATTGCTGCGATGAAGACTTTCCAAGTAGTTGGGGTCAAAGATACGTCTCTTGCAACCTTGATAACACGGTATCAGAATACAAATTTGGATTCCAACTGCAAATAGGGACGTGCTTACCTAGAGGAAAGTCGGGCACTAGAAACTTGTGGTACTTCTTAGGCGCGGTTTGATGAATGTATTGTCGTGCACTACTTTCGGCTGTTGCCCGCAGCTTTTCAGCGGCATTTCCAGGCAGATATGTAGCCACAAGGCTATCACTGCTAAGGAACAGTCGCAAGCGGAGATAACGCTCCCATAGTGGAATGTTGCGCAGACACCACTTCTCAAAAGAAGTGAAGCTCCGATTCGGCCGTTCATGATACCACTGAGCACTCCGGGCGTATTGTTTCACAGACCCGGCATCTTTCGCGATGGCAGGAACCACTTGGGCTGCGCTGCATCCGTTACCGATCACCGCGAGTCGCTTTCCGCGGTAGTCAAAGTCGTGATTCCATCGTGCGGTGTGGAAAACCTCTCCATTGAATTTCTCCATCCCGGAAAATTTGATGTCTCTTGGTTTAGAAATGCCACCAACAGCAGAGATAAAGACGGTGGCGGTTCTGGTATATTTAACTTGCGTCTTGATATCAAGGAGCTGAACTTCCCAAAACCCTTCACTGTTCCAAGCCGCGGAAATACATTCAACGCCAAACTGCATGTGCTTCCGGAGATCAAACTTGTCGACCGTTGCTTCCATGTCTAAGTCACGCGACAGGTGTCAGTGTAAATTCTCCCGATGTTTTCATTCATGGAGGTCGAACATACATTCGAGGATTTCGGGCCCTTCACATAGTTCTTTTGACCAGTCTGGATTTTGGTTGAAGGAGAATGAGTAAAGTAGCGTAGGTACATCACAACCTCTGTGCAGATATGGATAGTTAGACAAGTCAACAGAAGCCAGGTGAGACTTATACATACACTCCGGGGTATGTGTTTTGCCTCCACGTTCCACCCGGGCCATCCAATTTGTCGTAAAACTATATCACTGTCAGTTTCATTTGATCTCGTGGCAATTTACGTTTCTTTTCTTTTCTTTTCTTGACTTACAGTAAAGTCATTGTACCCTAATCGGTGTTTGAGGGTGTGTGCCAAAGCAATCCCCGATGGCCCAGCACCGACAATGATAACATCTGGACTATTCATCATGAGAGCAATAGTAGAGACTTGGTGTCAACTTCCAAAGGGGGTTTTCGAGACATTCCATTTGGGTATTGGATTTATATAATCGTGCTCCGGCCCACTTAGTGTGGCCCATCATGAGGACCAGACGGGTGAGGTTGCCGTGGGGAAGCTCGGTAGCTAGCTAGGAAATCCATGGGGCCTATCGAAGGGCCGAGGAATAGCACGACCCGTTGTTAAGTGTCCATAAATTGACTTATCTTGCACTCCGCGGGATTGTAAACCCGACGCACAGCCAACCTGTTATGTCATCAGAAGAGAGATGTTCATTGACGCACTGATGACCAGAATCAATCAATTAGACTTTTGTACTAACCCCATCTTTACCCCGGACTATGGTGGGGACCTAGCTAAAGTCCATGCTATCTGATCAGCTTGCGGGCTTGATATAAAAAGCATAGAAGTCAGATTTTTTCCCTACCTTGAATCTTCAAATCAAATATAATTCCTGATATTTGAAGTCCTACAATACAGAAGAGAATATCATCATGAAAGGGATTAGGGGAAAATCATTGTATCGTGTCATGCGTTTCTGTTGTTGCATGGTACGTGGGTCTATATCCACACAACTCCCCAGAATGTCCACACTAACCATTCCACAGGCTTTTGGTCTGTATGGGTACGCAAAAAACTCGGAAATCTCAAGCTTGTCGTCTGGAAACTGAAAGAACCAGATATGATGCCGGTGTTTTAGGCGGAGTTCAGGAAACACGTCCTTTCCGCGAGGCTCTCGGGGTATGTACCAGGCGGACTCAATCGATGATGGCAAGCTAACTATGAGAGAACCCGACAAGTCCTTATATTATTCCGATGGTGGCATCAAGCTATACCCTCGCTGCCACAGTATGTGCACTTGTGGTCTCGTGGCTTGGCATGCCCCTGGGCCGACGAGGCTGCATAGTCATGGGTGACATGCTAGTGATTGTCGGAGGAATTCTGCAAGCCTCGTCTTGGTCTGTACCTCAAATAATCGTTGGACGGGTGATTTGTGTAAGTTATCTGTTGATCAAGTTAGCTGCATATCTAACAGACGACACAACAGGGCTTCGGTATCGGTGTTTGTATATCCCCCCGACTCGCGAATGGAATATCTAACAAATTTATGGTGCCAGTTTATTTCCTGTGCGGTGCCAACGTATATGGTATGACAGAGATGAGGAATAAATCCGCTACGAAAGTTGACTGACTTTATATGGCCATAGGCTGAAATGAGTCTCACGGAAAAGGAACGAGGGCCAGAGGTGGCATTCCAGTGCATATTTCTTGTGAGCGGTTGTGCGTTCGCGTATTGGGTGGACTTTGGTTTCACGCGCCTCGACAATCAGATCTCATGGGTGAGGAAAACTTTTTATCAGCATTAGTTATTCACCCACTAACTATTGATAGCGCATTCCTATCGGGTTCCAAGCCGTTCTCGGCGCTGTTTCAGGCGTGGGGATGTTTTTGTTGCCGGACACACCTCGATGGTATTACGTCCGTGGTCGGCTAGAGGAAGGGGACGAAATCCTATCTCGCCTTCATGACCGACCGATTTTGGATTCTGATGTCCAAGCAATGCGAGAATCCATCCTAGCATCTCTTGAGCTTGAGTCTGAGGAAACCAAAACTCTGAATCCGCTAGATCTCTTTTGGGATCGGACTAACTTGCGGGTGGGACGACGCTTGCGAATCGCTTTCTTGATCCTGTCTGTGCAGCAGATGATGGGTAAGCTTAATCCGCTTCGTTAAACCTGCTCTCGACCTTTCTTCTCATCGTATATAGGGATCAATGTGGCTGTCTACTACAGTGTCACCATATTTGCGCAGATTGGTCTTTCCTCTACGCTATCTCAGCTTCTCGCTGCAGTGATGAACACTATCTTCGCAATAGGTTCTCTCTTCCTTCCTTCAACCATCGAAAGATTCGGAAGGAGGAACATATTGATGTACTCTGCTGGAGGTCTAACAATCTGTCTCAGTATTTTTGTCGCCATGATCGGATCCCCGGATCCTACATTGGCAAAACAATGGGTTGCAGTCGCAGCCATCATTATATACAATCTTATCTTTGGGTATGGATGGATTGGTGTTTGCTGGTTATATGGACCCGAGGTATATTTTTTCTAACCCCATATCCCTGAGAAATAGACTTATAGACTTTCCATGCTTACATCCCACAAGATCGCTCCATTACAATTCCGCCACATCGGAGGTGCCGCCAGTGCATTTGGAGAATGGCTTTTCTGCTTCATCACTGTTTTTGCTGGAGGTATCGGACTTGAGAAAGTTGGATGGAAGTTGTGGCTTTGGTGCCTCCTTTCATGCGCAGTGGCTGTGCCGTTCGTCTACTTCTTGTGCCCTGAGACGACTGGGAAAACACTAGAAGAAATAGATTTATTGTTTCAAAAGGAGAGCGAGCCTCACCGGAACAATACTGATTCTATGGATGCATCTTTGCAGGAGAAAGAGGAGGTTCAATGTTATCATCAAGAAACTGCCCGCGTGTGAAATTAAATAGACCAATAAGCCATGGATCTTGAAAACACATGAAGCAGACATTCCGACCAGAATCTCCACATTTGCTTTGTTTTTTTCCGATATAAATCTTAACATTGATTCGAACGAACTTTACAACAATTGTAGCAAGGGCATATCTAAAATAATGAGTAACATTCAGGATATATAGGCTTTATTCGAATATCTTAGAAGGACTTGATATACTCCGCGAGCCAGTATTCCTCCCTCTTTTAAGTGCTTGTTTAAGCATTCTTTCTAGCTCTCTTTTTTGCCGTGTTCTAATCATGTAGATCAAAAAAGGACCATGCCGCGAAAAGGGCGACTAATTATATGGGGGCTGGCACAATAAACTCTAAAATCTGCCGTACACCTGCGAAAATCTCTTGGACTTGGTGGCATACAGCACTTGAATTTTGTGTCGAAATTGGCATAAGTCCCCATACAGTAAACCCTCGTTATAACGAACTGAAACTAGTGCTTCGTTTAATCCGCCATAGTAGGAATGAAATTCCTCCCTACTGCGAACTTCGTTAATTCACCATGGTTCCCTTACCAGATTCATTAAAACGAGGTTTTATTACGCCGTTTTTGACCACTTTCAACCAATTAAATCATCCTAACCTCCTAGAAAGTGGGTTTACGAGAGTAGTTAATAGTGCGATTAATACACATAAACAGTTAGGACAAGCGAGAAAATCAGGTGTGTAGAAGTATAGTAACATTAGGGACTTTGGGGGGTTTTTTGGACTATAAATTTGCATGTAAGCTAGAAGCACTACAAAATATATATATCTTATATAGCACCTGATCTAACGAATATTTCACCGTGTTTCATTTAATTCGTAATAACCCGGGTTTACTGTATCAACTGTAACTTCCAGTGAAACTGAATTCTTCAGTATGTAGCGACCCAAAACACGATAGGTCAAACCAATATTCGGGAAAGTAACACCATGCAGAAGAAATCCGGCTAAAAGCTTGGCCATTGCATTCTTCGTCATTTCATTTGGTGGCTAGTAAGCCTAAACTTTATAAAGTTTCTACCTTGATTGCATGAGTCAGGCAAGTAGTGTCATGTAGATTTAACCCTGCAAATTGTCCAAAAGAAAATTGGACACCCTCGGTAATTGCAGTATACCCCGGTTTTCAACTTACAATAGTCTGGAATACGGAGTTGGTGATTGTCAGCCTCCACACTCCAGCTCCCCGCATTTTATGGATGTAATTTCGGGAGTGATATCCCGATCTAGACCGCAATTGAGTGGTGATATAAAACTCTGGTAGTACAACTCATTATTGAGGCGAATGATCAAATTCTAATTCTCTACAACTATGTTGAACCTGCAAGGTCGATCACTACAAAGTGCCATCGCGGTGAGCGCTGGAAGCGCATACCTTTTGTTTGGCTACGATCAAGGCGTTCTGGGTGGTCTTGTATCATACCCAGGGTTCTTGTCGGCCATTGGCAATCCTAGCTCTGGGTATCTAGGAACCATAGTGGCTCTCTTCAACATCGGTTGTCTCATAGGTTGTGTAATTTCGGCCTTTTTTGGCAATCGACTGGGCCGGAAAAATGCCATTACTCTCGGATGCGTGATTATGGTCATCGGCGGTGCGGTCCAAGCCAGTACCTACAGTGCGGGTCAGCTGATCGCTGGTCGCATAATCTCTGGAATTGGCAATGGTATGTTTATCTTGGTATAGCGAATATCGAGATCTCATATGCTAATTCGGAACTCCGCAAAAAGGTATCAATACCTCAACAGTCCCCGTTTACGTGTCTGAAACCTCCCGAACCGCTGTACGTGGGAGATCGCTCGCCATCCAAATGTCAATCGTCATTGTATGAAACCCGAATTTCTCACGTTGTGGCCCTTTTGTTGACGATTTCCAATAGTTTGGCACGGTCGTTGCCTACTGGTTGGACTACGGCATGATTCGCACTCAAATTGGCGAGGTAATCTTGCTCGGCGTCATATATAAGTGACATTGCTTACGATGCATCCTAGGTTGTCTGGCGCTTCCCTCTAGCTTTCCAAAATTTCTTCGCTTTAATCACCATTATTACCATGCCACTGTTGCCCGAATCACCAAGGTAGGCCCTGGTTTATTGAGGCACTTGTTAAAGTATTGGATTAAGCGGGACTTAATAACAATTGCAGGTGGCTTTACTCGCACGGACGGCAACGCGAAGCTATACTTGTGCTTTCAAGATTGCTTGCTTTATCGGAGGATCATCCTGACGTGTCCACCGTCGTGGCTGAGATGGAGCAAGCTCTGTCAGTGGAGCAAAGCAAAAAGGAGAAACTCAGCATCTCAAGCTTATTGTTCGAGAAAACGGAGATGAAGAATGGGCGACGCTTGACATTGTGCTTTGCAATTCAATTTTTCCAACAATTCACTGGAATCAACGTTATTGCGTTCTACGGTAAGACGCAAAAGTACTCAATCAATTATCCGTCGCTAAATGTTTATATAGTCACCATCGTACTTGAAACGAACGTTGGCCTCTCGCCCGAATTGAGTAGTCTTGTGGCCGGGTTTATCCAGATCGCATTCTGGGTGGGCACATTCCCACCGATATTTCTCATTGACCGACTTGGTCGCCGAAGAGTGCTGATGTTAGGATCAACTATGCTTTGTCTGGCTTTGGTATTGTTCACGGTAGGAATCGCACTTAAGACACCTGCCTCGTCGCGACTGGCCTTGGGAATGCTCATTATATATGAAATATCTTTTGGAATGAGCTGGAACGCAGTACCCTGGTTATATGCACCGGAGATCACGCCCCTCAACATTCGTCATGTCGGCGCAGCGGTTGGCTGTTTTTCCGAGTGGCTATGGACATTTGTAAGAACCCATCCGTTTATTCCCTTTTTCCCACAGTTTCGTCCGGCTAATTCTGGACGTGCGATCAGGTAATCGCACAGATGACACCTGCGGCCATCGCCAATACAGGTTGGAAGATTTACCTTCTTTTCTGTTTTATGACTGCGCTCAGCATTCCATTCGTTTACTTCTTTATGCCTGAGGTTTGTGACCCCCTGCCTTCTCACGTTTACCTTGGTGACAACTGATGACCAAACTTGCGCGAATAGACAAGCGGAAAGACACTGGAAGAAATTGATTACATATTTGTGAAGCACAGAGGTCATTCGAATGAGTTGATGGATACTACTGCGTCCTCTTCGAATGAGGCGGCGGAAAAGTCCGAAGGGGAGCTGGCCCAGGTTGAGAGAGTATGAGCATAGAACGGAGCACAATGGCGTTATAGAGTTATTATATGGGCTTCTTAGAATGGTAATTTGAACTTATATTGTGTGCAATTGTAGTACGTGAAGTTGTATGCACCCTATGCAGTGTCAAACATCGAAAGTGCCATATCCTCATGTTCATCACTAGGGATATAATGGGGCTTGGACACAATATCTGACTGGAACAGCAACGATGGCGGGATGTTCCAATCATCAGTGAAGTTCCCATGCTGGCAAAGCCTCATTGAAGGGTGTAACTGGGGATTGGGGACAGAGGCTTCTGTCTGTGAGGCTACTTTTGTGGATGGGAGATGTGACTGGTATGAAATGGGGTCTTGTGCACTGGATGGATATGAATCTTCATCCGAAGAGCTGTCAGCGTCGGAATACAAGTCAAAGTTACTTGCTTCTGTGGATGCAAGATCCTGTAGGAGACTTCTTTCTGAGGGTGTCATCATGAAGTGAGAACAGAGGAGTTTGCTCATTTGTGGGGGATTGAGGTTGTCGAGTTGTTGTGCAATAGTTGGCGACGAAGCGAAGCTCTCTGGGCGGTCGTAATATTCGCATTGAGGCGGTATTGTTCTCTCATGGTGAACTTCATCGCTGTCAAGTGAGTGTGTGAGGTGGGTATCTGCCGTTTCAAGTGAAATGACTGGATTTCGAATAGCAGCATCCACGGACCCAAGAGCTGACACCGCAGAAGAATATGTTTCTCGCAGCTGTCTTAATCCCTGCACACATAATTGGAAAGATTCCATGGCTAGCTGGCGGGTTGGAGAGTGTGTTGACTTGAGATGGTCCAGATGTGTGACAAGAGCAGTTTCCAGCACCGTGACTTGGAACTCTGGAAACAGATAAGTGAGATTCTGAGACCTGAGATATTCGTATATTTGTGTGACAGTATTTCCCGAGTGACGAAGTCGTCGTTTTGACAGCTCAAAGAGCTCAGGAAGTCTGGTGCCTCTCACGACAAGCTGCGGTCGATGCAAAGCGCTGCAAGCAAGACTGTAGATACCGCTCAACATTGCGCGGAAATGAAGAAACAATTCTCCGTGCTTACTGATCTGGAACCCAGGATTAGATGAGCACCACCGAAGAGCCTCAGGTAGAGTAGTGAGCCATTCCTCAAGCTCAATATCACAAAGCAAGACTTCGACACTCATTTCATGGGAGCGCCTTGGTAAAAGGGTGCTCCTGGGTGTGTCTGTGAATTGGTTTGGATCTTGGGAAAGAGTATATTGACAGGTCAAAATACGCGTGATACACTTGCAGCATTGCAGTAGACTGATGCTGATTTGAGAAAAGACGTTTCGCATAGAGGGATCTCTAATCGCTGGGTGGCTTCCATCATTCCCGAGACAACACTTGGTCGGCAAGGGACCGACTTCAAAGTCCGAAGGTCGTAGGGCTTGAACTCTATAGTCGGCTTCATCAAATTGAAATGGGCGCCTCGTTTGAAGACAAACTAGCCGGTCTCTTATGTAGCACGACCAACATATTCGACTCCAAAGCCCTGGTTGCTGTTTAATGAACTTCTTTTCCGAATCAGTTGGGTTTGTTTTGATTGAGTTCATAATTCCCTTTGCTAAACCAACAAAATGCCAAGCCTCCTGGCCTTGATCGGAAGTGTCGTCCCAAAACGTCATCAGCAGCAAAGACTGCAAAATAGTGATGCGATCTTCCTCGCAACCATATGAATAAAGCAGTTTGGCGCGCTCAAATCGAGCCTGTCTGGCTTCTCTCCTGTCTTTGAATCCCTGGAGCACCAGAGAATCATTTGGCTGCCATGCAGTAGCGGCGAATATCACCGCTTGAAACAATAGCAGGCTGATCCCCCGATTGCCGTTATAAGTCGTATCAAGAACCATCAAGAAATCTTCAGGGCTCAAGATCGGTAATGCCGGGTGTATAAACTGGAAATAGGCGTTCAGAATCCCGGCCCTGCCCCTTGTGTCTGGGACATTGAATGCGCCTTGTTCGTGAAGAAATTCGCAGTCTTCCGATGTGATGGAGGGCGGCAGGGGACTGGCATAGTCTGGCAGCCATTTGCTATAACCCACTCGTGATTTGCCGAAAGATGGTGTCTTTTCAATGTTATTCGATGGGTTATTCTCTTCTTCGGTCCAATATTGTAGTGGGCGATCTTTCTTCGAGTTAGAATGATTCGTTCTTCCAGTTGGTTCTTTTAATAGAACATACCCACGGATTCCACTGCCTTGGGGGTGTCCAGCCCCTCTTTGTCTGCCAACCGCTCTCCCAAATTCTGAGCCTCCGATATCGCTTTCATTGCAACCTTGCTTCCCTTTCCCCTTCTATCAATTGGAATAGAACAAGGCATATCGTAGAATCGACATGAAGTGCAAGGGGAGCCTCTGAGGGTCACATCGCACCTCACTTTTCGACAATGACAGTTGGAACATGCTCTCACGGATCGCGCTCGATGGATCTGCCTTTTAGATAGATGTGTCCTAGGGTTGGGCATTGTAGTAATTGGGGGGTATACCAGACAGTAGCTTATGGGTCGAGGTCACGGTTTAGTCGAGTTCGCGATGGACTTGTCAAATCTGAAGGCAAATAATTGATCAAGTGGGATACCAAGTGGAAAATCATGAGTTAGGCCAAATTACCAAACCATTCTGTATCCAGCCATACTCTTCGCTGCCAGCCCTCTCTGGGCTGTCATAGTCGTGATGACTAAGTCTTATCTCTGCGCCGGGATTGTAAACCCGCGGAATTTGCCCGCAACATGATGCTGGAGAGAATCTCATGAGCTCATTCCACTGTAGCAGCGAGAGATCTAACTGGTCAGATAGCAGAGAGATCTAGATTGAAACCAAGGCAGATCTCTCCAGCTTCTCCAGCTTCTCCACCCCCACTTCATATTCCCCGCGTTTTGCATTGCGCGTGCCGAAGTCCTTCGACCCCAGATCTGGGGACTCCAGTTCTTCTTATTCAAAGTCCCACTAGATTTCGATCAACTTAATCATGGGTCACGCTCCTAAAAGGGCTAGGACAATCGAATCGGGCGCTTGCTCGCACTGTGTCGCTCGACGAGAACGGTGCTACATTGGTGTGCGTGGCATTCCGTGCTCCAACTGCCGCCGCTCGAACACCCGTTGCGACGGTATCGCTAGCCAAGAGTGGGTTGTTTCAGTCCCCGTAGGATGGAGTGAGATACAGTGCATATTTGTTGGCTAACATATCAGGAAACAGAATCACACCGAAGAAGAGACTCCCGTCTAGGATCTACTGTGATGGTAAGTGGAGATCAAGTTCGCTGCACGTCCCCAATTTGCATCGTATCTTATGCAGAAATTTTCTTTTTGATCCAGATGGATTGTTCGAATCTCAAATACGCAGAACTGAACAAGAGCAATTACCTCGGGCTCGTACCACTGCGGACCTTCCCGCGACCGATCCTATAGAGAATTATGTATCAATCATGCATCAACTTCTCGGCCCTGAGCCTCCCGATCGACCACCCTTGAATAATACCCCTCGATACGTATCGGAGCTTCCAACTCGTCTAGAAGTTGGTGATCTTGATTATTTGGAGAGCAAAGGGGCTTTGTGTCTTCCCACAGCTCCATTTCGAAAGCAGCTTTTGAAAAGCTACATATTATGGGTACATCCTCAGGTACCAGTGTTGGATCTAGATAAATTTCTACATGCCATCGCTGCAAATGACGGGAAAACTCGCATTAGCCTGCTCCTATTCCACGCAGTCATGTTCGCCGCTTCTGCGTTCGTAGATATATCACACATCCAAGAGGAGGGATACATGTCACGAAAAGTAGCTCGCGACGTTTTGTTTCTGCGAGTAAAGGTTCGCATCCATACATTTTTACACTATGCGCATAGTTTTCATTATGACTAACAGCCTTGTTAGGTGCTTTTGGAACTCAATTGCGAGGATGACCCAATTTCCACAGTGCAAGCCCTGCTTCTACTGATTCATTGGAATGATCTGCCACAATCGGAAAAGGGTGCCAGCCACTGGATAGGTGTCTGCCTATCATTAGCAATATCTCTCGGTCTCCACCGCAATCCAGATTCTTCCACCCTTTCGCCATCCGAGCAAAAGATGCGCAGACGCACCTGGTGGAGCGTGCACAACCATACACGACTAACCGTGGAGAATCTACTCTCCGCGATGCGCATGCAGGAGGATCGCGAGGACAGAAACCTGTTCGATATTCCGATGATCACACTGAACGACTTTCAACTTCACGTCTTCCCCCCTGAGATGCGAGCAGTTGTGGACGATTGTGAGGTTCTTCGTGACGTCGAATATCAAAAGACACAAGCCGTAGTTTTCATTGAAAAAACTAAACTTTGTCAATTGTCTCGATTTTCGAGCATATTGAACCGAGTACAGAAGGTGGTGTGTGGAGAAGCCATAGGGAATGGTGACATCAATTTGAAGCTCAGATCAACACAAGAGGAGATCGAGAAGCATCGGCGATGGCAACTCCAGCTCCCTGTCTCCGCTAGTCATCAGTGTCCAATGGACCTGGTTCCCACAGACTGCGAACGGAGCATTTATTTGCATCAATCCTGGCTTCGGCTCCTTTATCTAGGTTCATTGTACGCAGCATGCTGCGATGACGGAGAAAATCCAGGTGACAATCTCACTGCTCCTGGGCAGGACTCCCGGTCTGCGCTAGTTGACAAATGTCTGCTAGATATCACAGATGTCTTCGATGAGATCGACTCTCTAGAATTATCCGAACAGCTACCGTGTCCAACCTCGGCGTTGTTAATACTTGCGCTAGCCTACCACAAGCAGCCTTGCCACGCTAGTATCGAAAGAAATACACGTCAAAGCTCTCGCTCGCTGCACAAATGCTGGAAAGTTATGCGTAAGCTGAAGGAAACTTCTCATTTGGCTGCTTGTATGACCACTTCCGTCGAAGATACGATATGTGACAAACTTTGGGAATCAATCTCAACTATCAATTCGCCATTGAACAAGACGGCACTAACAAATTACATCATGGGGAGTTCCTGGGGATTAAATTGTTTGTGAACAACAAGATGTGGGCTATATAAATTGACCTGCTATTTCTGAACATAATTTTATCACGATATTTGACCATCCGTTCATTGATGACACAGAAATAGCACACAAACATTACACCAATCGTGATAAAAACAAGAAAACAAATAGTTAAGTGAAAACGCTAGCTAAAACGTACGTATGCTGGCAATTTATGCTGGCAATTTATGCTGGCAATTTAGACCTGACGCCTCTGTTTATGAAGGGGATAGTTACTGGTGCACAACGGCCTCGGTGACAACTAAACTAGCAACCGAGGCTGGACAGTCGTCTAACCCACCCAAAGCCCAAGTTTCGCTTTCCAGGCCCCCTCTCCTATTTCAGATCATCATTCTGCGCCTATAATAATCAAAAAGTTGCCGCTGCCGTGCCACTGCACATCCAACGACTTCTACCTCACGCAACTCCAACATGACTCTTATCACCACACCCACAACCCAGCTCCTTGAGATCGAGAATCCTATCCTCCTAGCAGGAATGGGCCATACGGCGGTCTCGGACCTGGTAGCTGCTGTTTCTAATGCGGGGGGCCTTGGGATCCTTGGTGGTCTTGGCTACACCCCAGAGATGCTGCGAGATGCCATCCGAGAAGTAAAACAAAAGCTTCGGCACCCAGATCTTCCCTTCGGTGTGGACCTTTTGATTCCTCAGCTTGGAGGCTCCGCCCGCAAGACCAATGTCGACTATACGAAGGGAGCATTGGAAGATCTCATCAATATCATCATAGAAGAAAAGACGAGGTTGTTTGTGTCGGCTGTCGGGGTTCCACCAAAGAGGGTGATAGATCGCCTTCAGGATGCAGGAATTCTATATATGGTACGTACAACGAAAAGCATTCTGGTGACGGACTACAAGCAACGAGGACTGATTTTGATTCATAATGTAGAACATGGTCGGCCATCCGAAGGTACACTCTACATCAACTCCTATAACAACATGGCCAATTAACAATTGAAATGAAAGCATGTCCACAAAGCCTGCCAAGCTGGTGCCGATTTTATATGCGCTCAGGGTGGAGAGGCAGGTGGCCATACGGGCGAGATTCCAACCAGTGTCCTTATCCCAGCTTGCATCGACGCTTGCCGCCAATACAAATCTCCACTCACTGGGAAGACTGTACAGCTCATTGCAGCCGGTGGTATTTTTGACGGCCGAGGTGTGGCCGCTGCGCTGGCTATGGGCGCTGGTGCGGTGTGGGTTGGCACGCGTTTTATGACAGCCCGAGAGTCCGCTGCTTCAAAATTGGGCAAAAATGCGTCAGTCCCAAAATTATTCCCAGCTTCCTGTGGTTTGACTTACTGACCGAGGAAACTTACAGCATCATTAATGCAGGATTTGAGGATACGATGAGGAGTTCGATTTGGGCGGGACGGCCGCTACGAGCTCTTGCCACACCGTATATTCGAAATTGGGAGCTAAATCGGCGCGATGTCATTGAAAAGCTGCAAGGTCAGGGATTGACCGTACTTGATCATGAACTGGATAGGCTGGCACGGGAGGGCAAGTTGACAGATGAGATTGAGGATCAATCCACGCAGAGGAATGTCCACCATGTTCCATTTCATATTGAGATTTTACTAACCTTGCTGCAGGCCAATGGGGTGCGGTGCAGCGATGGTAAATACGCCGGATCAATCTGCGCATGAGATTATCTTGGAAATGGTCACTCAGGCCTTTACACTTGTAAGAGATGCTGCGCAATATGTCAACCAGACGTCGAAGCTCTCACTGCCTTGTCGTCATAAAGACAAAGCTCATCCATATACAACAGCAATCTTAGTTCTACATAGTGGGCAATCTATTTTTTTATGAATGGCGCATCTCTGACTATTGGTTCCTTGTCGGGTTAGGCCTACTCTAAATTTGGACAGCTAGCCAATCTCGTATATAGAGCATACAAATTATCTTCCACTTACATCTCCCAATTTTGTTCTACTACGAAGGTCATTCATGGTATAAACATTAGTAAGGCCAGAAAAGCAGCATAGCAAAAGAAGAAAGCCAATGTAACAAGTAACACCGTCCAGTACGTAGACCTTGAAATATCAAAATCTACACCTTGGCAATCATAATCAAGGTCTACAAGGCCAAAAAAGTTTTAAAAAGGAGACAACAATGAGTCCAATGTTGGGGTTTTTATTTCATTGTCCTCGGTTTCTACGTTGTCCAATGTCCAATTCGGCCACCGCGGCCAAGCGCAGTCCATATCTAGACCGAGGTCAGGGTGGCATCAAGAAAAGAACAAAATAAAGAAGAACTCATACACATATCTTCAAATTCCATCTAACCCTTTTACCTCCCTCATTCCATATTCAATAATGGCACCCCATAAAGTCCCGATTATCATCGGTGTTGGGGAGGTCAAGAACCCCTCACGCCGAAAAGAAGATGCCATCGAGCCTTTACATTTGATGAGAGACGCAGTCAAAGAGGCAGCCTCTGATGCTTGCCATGCTGGTGCACCCGCGATTATCTCTTCCATTGACAGCGTAAAGGTTGTGGCGAGCTCGACATGGCAATATAAAGATCTGCCGGGGCTGGTGTGTGAAGGACTAGGAATCAAAGCCTCCCATACATCGTACAGTGAGCTAGCTGGAAGTGCATCTGTGCAGTTGATTGATGACACCGCTCGAATGATTGCAAACGAACAAATCGAAGTTGGGGTCGTGGTAGGCGGGGAGGCTATGGCATCATGTGTGTGCTACTGTTCCAGCAAACCCAAGTGAGATCCATGGGAAAACGTGAGTTAATGGTTGTATTTTCACAGTGAAGGGTCTTATCAAAGATGGCACATATCCGCCTCCTTGGACAGTACCAGAAACAGCACAGGTCTACTACGCCAATGATACCGACATGTTCACTGGTTAGTGTCCCTCTTCTCGGGATAGTGCGAGTATAACCGCTGAATCACACAGGCATTGGGCGCGCTCATAGAGTTGGTGTCCCTATGCATGTCTATGCGATGTATGAGAACGGTTTGCGATGGCGAAGAGGCCAAAGCCCCCTCAAAAACCTTGAAGAATCCTCTTCACTTTACGCTCGATTTGCCGATATTGCATCGCAGCACCCAATGGCATGGAATTCTGGAAAGAGTCTTCAAACTGCCAACGAGATCGGAAATATCACGAAGCAAAACAGGATGATATGTTTCCCTTGTGGGTACCTTCTATCTAGGTTGTGAAATCCTGATTTGTTGACTCTGGTAATCCACAGATCCGTTGTTGATGAACGCTTTCAATGACGTAAATCTTGTCAGTGCTTGTATCCTCACTACAACGGAGTGCGCTGAACGAATGGGTATCTCGCGCGACAAGTGGATCTTTCCACTTGGAGGTGGAAGAGCAGAAGATTCTAAAGACTGTGAATTTCCCAACTTTTCTTAATATCTTGAGCACTCGATTAGTAAACTGACATTTTGTACCTCTAGTCTGGAACCGTCCTAATTTCTACTCCAGCCGGGCGATAGCTTGTGTCCTCGATAGTTGTTTCCAGTCGTCCGGGCTCGGCAAGGATGACATCGATCTCTTCGACTTTTACTCGTGAGTTGGACATCCACTGACATATTTACCCGGCATTGAAATCAGTCACGCTTACCCTTTCTTCAATGGGTAGTTGCTTCCCAATTGTCCCCAAATTAGCATGCCGCCATTTGGGTATCCCTTGCGGCGAACACCCAAAGCCAATAACGCTCCTAGGGGGCCTCAAATCTTTTGGGGGTGCAGGTGCAAATTATTCCATGCACGTAAGATACAATACTCGAGTCTAACACTCATAGTCAATCTAACACTTTGGCCCAGGCCGTGGCGGAGATGGTCCGACAGTTACGGAAGCTTGGTGGTCTTCCCAAGCCCTCAAATGGACTTATACTCGCCAATGGAGGCGTTCTGACAACCGAAAATGCAATTTGCCGATCAACACATCCTCGCAGAAGCAATGATCAGTATCCTACGAGCGCTAACAACCAACTTCTTCCAGCCAGTCAGCTAACCCCACCAATCAGCATGCACGGGGAAGGGGAGGCCATCATCGAGGTATGCTGCTGTCTTCCAACAGGTTTGAACTGTTGCTAAACCTTTTCAAGACATATACGGTCGAGTATGATCGAGAAAACCGCCCCCGACTAGGCCATATTGTGTGTCGCCTCAGGAGTAACGGACACCGTGTTATAGCAAACCACGGTGATATAATTACGTTGGAGCAGCTTTCCAGATGAATCGAGGAACCCATTGGACACAGTGGATTTGTAAAGCGATCTTCAACGACGGACCAAAATTTGTTTGTGTTTCGTAATGATGATACATCTAGACTGTAATCTGAATATGACAAGAGAAATGAAAAGAGAAATGAGATTAGATGAACTCAATATAGTGAAACAAAGCGTTCGAAGAGCAAATTAAGTCGACGTGCATGGTATAATGCAGGATTATGTTGGAAGATTGACAAGTTCAGAACCTAAAAATCAAGAAGATTATGGATAGTCTCAACTAGAGGAATATGTAGTACCTAACAATACAAGAACCGATCACTTCTCGAGGCAGAAGTTTTGCCGTGCGCATCAATACATAGAGTCCAGTCTTCTTCCAATTCCTACATGGATTACCGACTTTTGTTACTAGGAGTGGAAAGGCGACCGAAGTGTTCTGTATTTTGAAGGAAAACAAATTACATTAGATTATATTGTCAAGATAGAATAAATGACTTTACAATGAAAGTAGTGAGACGGTGAAATGACTGAAATTCCACATGTGACTCTTTTTTCTTGTTTTCGTTTCTTTTTCCTGAAAAATACAGCCTGGTGATGTTAAAGGCAAGAATGACGAATAAGAGTTTACCGAAGATTCATGATGGGGTTTCTATAAAGACCCATATGTTGAGCACCTATAGGGGACACAGGCTCCGATACAACCTCAGACTCAGGCACAGGTCGAGGGGGCAAAGCAGGTGGATAAGGACCAGTCACTGGCCGGTTATAGGCTACATAAGTATCGACAAGAGGAGGAGGGTGAGGACGCACCGGAATCCGAGAGTTCATACGAGCCAGGCTACCAGGGCGAGGGATCTGAAGAGCATTGACATACGGTTCTGGGGCGGAATCCTTAGCCTGTGAAATTGTCACAGGAAACGGCGTAACTAACTCCCAGAGGAATGACTGGGTCTCGAGGTTGCGGGCAACGTCAGCGGCGTCCCTGTAGCGCATAAAGTCATCGGTCAGCATGTTCAAGGTGTCAGTGGTATAAATGCAGGCCCAGTCAAACTCGGTCATCGGGTTCTGTCCAGGGCGGTCGATCAGAACGGTGAAAAATCCAATAGGCACGACACGCACAAGCTCATTTGTCGAGCAATCGATGGCCATCATCTGTCCAGCTCGTTTAAGCTGTTCCAATGACCGATGGAGCCGACCTACTCTATCGTTGAGTTCATCCTCAAGCGATAAGCCATTGTGCAAGATATCGTCAATGAGCCGCTTGCAGCGAGTTTGAAATACAGCCCGTGTGGTCTGAAAAAGCCGGGCTGAAGTATTATCGAGCATGACTGACATGACTTCTCACTAATACCAAAAGCCCGAAGCTAGCGGAATATATTATAATTAGTTGTGGTAAGGATGTCAGGGAAGATGAATCCCTAATTTGGAGGTCAGCAAGAGTGGATTGTCAAATGCTGTCCTGGCTAAATGAGATATTGTATGATGGTTCGACGTGACCTATTTATATTGTTTCTACGGCTCAATCCCCACCTGATGTTAGTATTGCGAATAAGAGCAAAAAGCGAATAAAAGACAAGAAAGACGACAAAGGCAAAGAAGGAAACACATAGAACAAAAGAGTCTGGAAGATAATGGTCTTATTAACGATCCTTTGTTACCCAAGACGGGTATTGAAAACTAGGCGAGGGTGGGTGTAAACAGGTATTTGAGGGCCATTAGAGCAATATCCACACCAGTGGTGATAATTCCGGCGCAAGCTTGTTTAGCTATTGACAATAATGTCTAAATAAACACATGTATTAAGCGTGGATTCAAAGGACCGACTTTACAGTAAAATAAATAACCAAATGCAGACAAAGCACCAAAGATATTATTCCACCAAGGGTATCAACATAAGTCGTAATTCGCTGTACTCCAAATCATGAGGCAAACATAAGAAAAAGCAAAAAAAGGAGCAAGAACATCATGAGAGGATTGATGTCGCCAATATTGTGCTAAGCGCGCGGCGCGATTCCGATATTCGGTCGTGCACGACAGAGTATTGGCGTTAATCTCGGCGATGTAGAGACTTGATGACTCCACGCATTATCTAGACAGCGGAGCGACCCCAGCGGCGGCGGCGACTGTTTAATATATCAGCATCAATCAAGAAAGACCGTGTTATGAGGTGTGAAATGGTCACTTACACTCCGTCGGGGGGGCTTTGGCGAACGCGGAAGGTGAACCAGATCCCCTTGATGCTTATTAGTACTAATTAATTTGTATTGGATAATTCCATCACATACCACGATAGCGGAAACAAGCCAGACAATAGCAGAAAGGAAGCTGAAGGCCTCAGCTGCCTTCCACCGGCCACACGTCTGGTCTCCTCTAAAGTGCCAGGACCAGATGCTGCCGCAGGGCAAGTGGCGGATGGTGTCGACGAGAACACCGAAGGCAGCGAACCAAGCAAACGAAATAAGGATGTCCACTAGATCCTAGTAAGCATTGGTCTATATCCACCAGAATATCTAGCACATACAAGGCCAGGAGAAGAATCCCGACGAGAACGGGATTAGCCATATCAGGCCCAGCAATATCGATAAGCCGGCGATTACTTCAGTATAGATCCATCGCGACTGGGGCCACCAGTCAACATCTGCGCTGCTGTGGTTAACCTCAGCAAGGTAGTGTCCGATAACACCTGCGACGACCTAAAAGAGAGTCAGATTCGATTTATAAGTTGGTATAGATTGGTGGGGGGGTATTCACAGCCGCAAAGGCAATTTCCGCAACGCGGAGGATGATAGACGCGAGGCGTGAAATGACGGGCATTGTTGATGTTTTGTCAATTCAATGAGCCGTTCCTTTAAAAAAATGTGAAAGATGTGATTGTATAAGGAGATATTGTGTCAAACTCGTGAGAAAAAGTAGCGTGGGATAAGAAGTACAGGCTGGGGAACACGAGAAGCTATATAACGTATCAGGTCGCACAGGCAAGCAAATTCCGAGAGGGAGCGATAGTGTGTTTTTAAGGCAAGGGACTAACGTGAAAATCTAATAAACAAGAAAACATTATTAATTAACTAAGAGAAACTCAAAACAAAGCACAACTTGCATTAAGGGCGACCAATAGAGTCAATCTAAGCCTCCTGGTGTCGTCAGATCAGTTCCGTATACAGTTCTTTCCAACCGGCTGAGGTCACTATTGGTCGAAGTATACTGTGAACAAAACGTGCCCAACCGTTTCCAGGCTTGGGTGGGTAAGCGATTGACTTTTCGTGGCGGACTGACCGCTGATGTGGACTGTGGCTGAATATCCTTCAACACCCGATCGGAGCAAGGAGTGGGCCTATAGGCTGTGAGCAATATGGACGTACAGGTACTGCATAGCCCTGGAAGTATTCTGTTGCCTCGATATCGTCATCCCTGTCTTCCCCGGACCCAGCTTCCCCATGCTAGAACATGACATGATGTGCTGGCGTAGAATACGGGCTCTTCTGCTGGATTGTGATATACTTCAGTGGCTTGCTTGTTGAGTGGTGAGTTGACTGCCGATCCCAAGGACTAATAGCGATAGCTCTGATTTGACCCAGAATTGGGATGGGTCTCCACCCAGGGCGATCATTGTTGCTGTCTGACAAGTGCGTGTTGTTTTCTAGACGTACGTTGCAGCTTGCCGAGCCACTGTTGACAGGGGGGATCCGGTTTGAAGCGAAGGGCCTTGCACACGTCTGACGACATTGACATCATTTTTAATTTGAGTCATCTGACCTTTTTGCTCTTTTCTCAGCCCTATGACGTGGGGCCACGGAGTGGAACTTTGCAAGCTTGAATTTGTTAATTTTTGCACTTATGATATAAGATATTTTGCATTGTGTTGATTATAAAATCACTTACAATGTTACTACATAGTAGTATTTCACATCTCGCTAATAGAGATATAGCAGAACTAGGCAGACATAGCAAAACATTCGAAATGTATATGCAGGAAGAGTCCAGAAACATGCGGGTGATACTCTGTACAAAATTCACAATTTGAGCTAGTTAATAGTGGGCCGTTGATGCTATGAATAGCAGCGGCCGCAGAAAAGAGGGTATATCTACTTTAGTAAAGCCAAGAGAGAATATCAAATTCGAAATAATGCTGCCTATAAGGTCCCAAAAAAAGAAAATTACATGCTGATACATAATGACCTCCCACCCACAACACCTGAGTCCAAATAGATGTTACAATATTTTAGACAAGAAAAGAGGACTAGGTCTTATTCCGATCCAAGTGCCATGCCATCACATCGCGGAATATCCCCTTGGCACCAGTCTCGATGGTATCACCATGGCATGGAATCAAACGATCAAAGTCCCACTGATCAATCCTTTTCATAGACTCATTGAACGCTGTCCGGTCTTGTGAGGAGAGAATATACCATGCAAACCGTCTGTGCCATGTAGCCGGTGGCTTGGTGGACAACAGCGGCATAATAAGCCTTGTAAGGAAATTAGTCCCCGCTTCGGGGGTCTTGGAATACTGCTCCTTAGCGGGTAGGTTAAAGAGCAGATCCGCCTCAATGACCGTACCCGTGGGCTTATGTAAAAACACCAGCTCGCGCGACCCGTGGCCATACACATACTCGCTGGCGAACTCAGCATCGAACTCCTTCGAAATCGACCGCGGCAGTTCATCGTCCTTCTTGAATACATGGTCGAACGGGGTGTCCTGGAACTCCGGGTTGGATTGTCGCTTCTCATAGAGACCCTCCGGGGCCAGGATTTCTGCTTGCGGATATGCGGTCTTCCACGGGGTAATGTTGAGGTGGTGCTCAATATCTGGCGCCGTGATGTATTTGACATTTCCGCCGAGGGACTCGACTGTTTCGCGGACTTCGGGCGTTAGGCTGACGGGCGAGAATACTGCCAGGGAACCGGTGGCAAGCTTAACTATCGCATGCAAGGAGCGTTAGCGCTAGATCATACACAAGGGGCCCCGTGGGCTTGACAGGACTGCACATCATCCCCTGTCCCCCGAGGTCGTATGCGATTGGTGGGCTCTGTAAGGGTCGGCACTCACCCAGTGTCCCTCGGCCGCCAAACTGCAGGTGTCCAAACCGTGCGAATGGCAGACTCATGGTCACGATGTCTGGCGTCACATGGCGAATGACCATGGTCGCAGCAGGGTTGGTTGGAAAGAGCTGTGGCATTTTGGCGCTTTTTCTTCGTCTTTCCCCCTTCGTTTGTGCTTTTTGAGTTCGAGATTTGCGCTCCCTGACGTTGGATGTCTCAGTCTATGTGTCTTGCAGGTATAAATATATTGTAAAGCTCGCGTACTAACAATAAAGGGAAAAAAGAGAGTTGTAAAATAGGAAAGTTATAAAGTTCCACGGGGAAAGAAAGTGGCCAGACAACTTTGATGACGTGGGACAAGCCTTATCCGCCTAGGTATCCACTTTGCATCGAGCCTGGCCGAATTTATCATCTCTTTCAGGAACCTCGGCATGTGTGTACATAAATATACATAGACTATTTGGGACATAAAATGTCTGGCTTGTGTACATCAAAAGAGATTGTGTATCTAGGTATCCAAAGAGCCTATTGTTTTGGAATTTTTCCAATTTGACTCTTGAGCGTCATACTCTTGATTATGTGCTAGATGGCATATACAACTGGCATATTCACAGCAACAAGCTAAATTATTAAATTGACCTAGTATTGCAAGCCAAAAGACCAAGGGGTATCTTGCAAAACAAACATCGACTCGTGGAATCGTGTATTCGGAAGTTTAGGCATACCAACTAGTGCCAGTCGCTTGCTCTTTCTCTTCGCGGTGGGGGATGATGGACTCCTCAATCTTGAAAACATCGATAATTTCATGCCATGTATCGTGATCCAAGCTAAAGACCGCCTGATGTTTTTGCACTCCCTTTTTTTGGGCTTCACTAGGGGCAAACGGTGCGGCCGCATCTGTCAAACTATTAGTGCTTTATCAACCAACCAAGTTGAAAAATACATACGCAGGGTCGGCAAGTCTCGACTATCTGTTGATACACCCACAGTGCCATCTCGCACGAGAAAACTCACGTAGAACAAATTTTCCACGCTTTGCCCGAAAGACTTTGGGTTGATACAGAAGCGAAACAATGGGATTCCCCCGTCGTCCGCCACGTTGTGATTATCCATGATTTGTTGTGCCTTCTCTGGCGTAAGGTTTACTTGGCCTTCGAGTTCTTCTGTGGCTGCTTTCTGACGATCATGCTGGTTATTAGCGAGCAGCTTGTTAATCTCGGAACAGATCTCGGTCAAATTCGTGCTGTCCTGCTGGCCAAGATCCTGCTGGGCCATTTCTCGGGGCGCCACGGCTTGCGTGCGATCAATCTGCTCTGTTGCTCTTCGCTGTGTCAGTTGCCGCGTACGCTTCTGTACCGACAGAGGCCCCAGCAACCATCCAGACACGGCCGGGCGAGCATTACTAGGAAAGCAGGCTGATCGGCCAAGCGTATCCCAGTTCATCGCGTCGCCGTCGTCTTCATCACTAGCATCGGGATCTCTTTGGCTTCGACCAAGGCGCCCTCGGCGTCCCTGTGTCCCGTTTGTTGAAGCCGTCGCATTGTTAGGGCCGCGACGCATAAACGAAACACACTTGGAGACAAACTCGTCTACATCGATACCGGCAGAGGTGTCGCCGAGAGCGAGCTGGGTAGCTTTCTTGTGTGTTAGGTCGGCGGTGTTGACCAGGATGCGCGAATCGAGCGTGGCGTCAGCGGTCTGCTTCACTTTGGCGTAAAATTGATTTGCTTGTTCGACGATGTTGAGGATACCATCATTTCCGGGCTGCATGAGCTCGCCTCGCGTGTCTTTGTGAAAATGGTTAGAGCGCTATCACTCAACTCTCGATTCCAGACAAAGTAACTTACCATTCAGTTCCCTCCCCAGATCTCGAAGTCCTCTCCGTACACTTCTACGTTCTTCGGGATCCTGATCAGGGTCATAGTATCGTGTGTCGCTGCCTGTTCGTTGAGATGATGCTTGCGACTGCGCGGATCGGGCAGACTGAGCAGATCGAGAAGATTGGGCGGATTGCGCAGGCTGGGCATTCGAGGTGCGGTTGGCTAGTCGCCGTCGTTTACTGTGTGCGCTGGGTGGCATCACAGCGGTAGTTTTCTTATTAATACCTTGATGCCGATTTTCTTTATCAGAGGTAAATGCGTCTGGTGATAATGTTGATGATGCTGGGCGGGGACCTGGGGTGTTTGCTTCGTCCAGGTGTGTGTGAATGAGACGTGCCATGCTCGATCAGCGCTTAGTGCGATATGAGATGCAGGGTTGTAACAAAGAAAATTCAACAAAGGAAAAAAGTAACAACCAATCGCATATGACTACACACAGTAGCCCAATTTAGACAAAGAGTTACCTCGAAATACACCGGTCCTTGAAAAAAAAAGATGCGTAGCTACATTTGATGATCGCGAACGCTTTGTCGCGTCGCGTAGACCTTGCACGTGACCTCCCCGCGTCGGTTGCTTATCGCCCATGACGCAGCGACCTGTTGCTCTCTTCAAACGGGGCACAGAGATGGAAGCCTTCACTTTTGCCGTGACCACTCAAGTGGACATACCTATACGCATCAAGATGTATGTTCTCCACTTCTGAGAATTGATGTTTCTCTCACATTGACACATTTACAGTGGCTCGTTAGAGGGGAAGCAGAAGCCGATCCCATCCACAGTTCTTGATGAAAACGCTGAGCTGCGGCATATTGCCTCCGTCCAAGATCCCACCTCTGATCTTTATGTAACCACTCAAATATGGTCGGAGTCGAAGCCATTGGGGGTGCCAATGAAGACCAAATACAAGCCCTTTAAAACCTCTCGAGTATGGAATGAATGGCTGGAGATGCCAATGTCCATCAAGGATGCCGAGCGTAACACTCAGCTAGCAATCACCATCGTTGATATGTCTCCGCTCGCCCCCGATAGGATTACGCACATCCCATTCGGTGGAACTACGATCACTCTGTTTGATGAAGACGGGAAATTGAAGATGGGCAGACAAAAGTGCAAGGTTTATTTACACAAGGACGCAGATGGGTATGCTACAACCTCGACTCCATCAGTTCTACCACCAAAGCGTCGTAAACTGAACACCCGTGATTATTCACACCAGTCACCCGAAGAGGCGGAACTGGAACGGGTCGAAGTCTTGATCAAGAAGCACGAAATGGGCGAGATCCCACGTGTTGATTGGATGGATCAATTACTCTTTCGCGAGTTGGAGAAACTGAAGACAAATGCAGATGAAGCGGCGCAAAAGCGTGCCCTTGAAATTGACGCAGCCCTGCAAAAAGATTCGAAGCACGTCAAAGATCAAGATGACAGCTCTGACGAAGAGAATCTCGAAGATGAGTATTTTGATCTTTACGTTGAATTTCCACGCTTTGATCATCCCATTGTGTGGGCCGATCACGAGTATCCTCCTCCGCCCATTTCCTCATGGCCCCAAAATGCACCTCCCCACCCCAATGCGACGCTTAAGCCAGTTCCGGAAGTACACTTTGGACCTGGAATTTCACATGCCGATCCCCATAATATCATTCAGATTTACGACCCGGAGGTTGGCCAAATCGGTAACCCGTGTGAGGACAAGCATCGTCGTTTGATCCGAAGCCATCGGACCGGTATCATGGATCGTGACCTAAAGCCCAACCCAAAGATTAGGGACGATCTCAATATGATTATTTCCTACGAACCGACACAAGACCTCACTGCAGAAGAAAAGGATCTTGTGTGGCGTTTCAGATATCATCTCACTCGCGAGAAGAAGGCATTGACAAAATTCGTCAAATCAGTCAACTGGCGGGATGTTGGAGAATCGCGGCAAGCTGTTGAAATGTTCCCCAAATGGACCGAGATTGATGTCGATGACGCGCTGGAGATTCTGGGCCCCACCTTCGATAATCCTGCTGTCCGTTCGTATGCTGTGGAAACACTGCGGAAGGCAGACGACGAGGAGTTGCTTCTTTACCTTCTTCAATTGGTGCAGGCTCTGAAATACGATGCAACTCCGGATAATCAACCTGATGCTGCTCCACAGGAGTCCTCACTTGCACATTTTCTAATTTCGCGTGCGGCTAATAACTTCAAGCTTGGCAACTACCTACACTGGTATCTCATGGTCGAATTCGATGACGCTGATGCAATTCAACGTCGGCTGTTTGCGCGGGTTGAATACTACTTCATGATTGAACTGGAAAAGCTTCATCCTGAGCATAGAAAGACACTATTGCATCAAGGTGAAATGGTAGCCGTGCTCTCCAAAATAGCCAAGGATGTACGCTTCGCGCGCGAAAACAGAGTCGGCAAGATTGAGATGCTGAAAAAATATCTCCGTGACCCTGATAACGACCTGATCAACATAGATCCACCGCTACCCCTGCCTTTGAATCCCGATGTTTCAGTCGTCGGGTTATACCCCGAGGAATCGAACGTATTCAAGTCCACCCTTTCCCCTTTGCTTATCACATTCAAGACTTCTGAAGGACGTCGTTATCCTATGCTGTTCAAAGTCGGCGATGACCTCCGGCAGGACCAATTGGTTATCCAGATCATCATCTTGATGGATCGCCTTTTGCAGAAGGAGAATCTTGACCTAAAACTAACACCTTATCGAATTCTTGCCACCAGCGCAACGGCCGGCGCTGTGCAATTCATTCCCTCAATTTCCCTTTCCGCGGCATCCGCGAAGTACAAATCTATCCTCGCCTATCTGCAAGCCAACAACCCAGATGACAATGAGCCTCTTGGCGTCCGCAAAGAAACAATGGATACATACATCAAATCATGTGCAGGATACTGCGTCATCACGTACCTGCTTGGCGTTGGCGACCGGCATCTTGAAAATCTGCTTCTGGCGCCAGATGGCCACTTCTTCCACGCCGACTTTGGCTTCATCCTCGGTCGTGATCCAAAGCCTTTTGCACCCATGATGAAACTGTGCAAGGAAATGGTTGAAGGCATGGGCGGCACAAGTTCGCCCCACTATCTGCAATTCAAGCAGTACTGCTACACTGCTTACACCACCCTGCGCAAATCCGCCAATCTAATTCTCAATCTCTTCAGCTTGATGGTCGATGCCAATATCCCTGACATTCGAGTGGAACCAGACAAAGCTGTCCTAAAAGTGAAGGAGCGCTTCCATCTCGAAATGACCGAGGAAGAAGCCATCCGTCACTTTGAGCAACTTATAGCCGACAGCGTCAATGCTATCTTCGGTGTTGTGATTGATCGCTTGCACGATTTTGTGCAAGGCTGGCGGGCGTAAGGTCTCTTAATTTTGAGAGTTTGTGCTTTGTGGGGTGTATTTGAAACTCCCACGGAATTTCCATACTCATCCTGCATATACTTTATTATTTTTTTGGTTCCAGACCGCCGGCGTTTTGGTGATGATGTTATCAGATGGGAATTTCGCTTCCGTTTTCATGAAGCTCGGCGCAATATGATGGATTTATAAAAGCCTGGATACCCAACCTACATTATTTTGTCTGCATAACAATGATTTGTTAAAGCATCGGTGCAATGCCCTACAGGAGCCTACCTGAGCAGGCTCTTGCTTACTGCATAATATAGATTTAAACAGACTAGGCCTCCTGTAGAGCACAGGGTAATTGACGTGAAGGGCAGATAGAATTTTCTAGCATGTCCTCCAATCGTGTATGACATGCCAGTCCTATAGCCTCCACGTGCCCTTGCTAGTGAGCTTGATTCCAAAGAGGAAGAAGGATTTTAGTCAGAAACATTATGTTTTATAGTAACCACTCCACTCCGGTACCGGAGGAAGTAAATTCTAGCGGCAATTCGCAGCACCTTCAATTTTGGATTCTAAAAACCAGTCTCTGGCGAAATAATACGGATGAGAGGGCCTTCTACTACTTATTGTTAGTCTGTAATACCATGTGTAGTGAATTGAGTGCGTTGGATGTCTTGCAAGTGATCATTCCATAGATCGAACCCAACATTAACACCGATGTAGTCTTTTCAAGCAATACGATTGAGTTCCTATTTGTCGCGGCACCGCCCGAGCTAAGTTGATTTTTCTCCAATCCTAAATCTCGCATGGCCAAAGATACGTGTTTTGCATGCCCAGGTGGATCATTGCCGACGGGAGTGCCGTTCGCTCGGCAGTTGTCACAGCACCGGACTTCACCGTGTACTCTGCCAGGATATCAAATCACGCAATTGCGGCATTTGATCCACTGTGAGTAATACCAATGCAGTCAAACCCCGCCAAAAGACGGATCGCCGGAGAGCAAATATTTCGAAACTGAAGGAGTTTCTAAAGGAGTTTCTGAAGTGGTGAGGGTCTTGGCATTTTAGTTCACGTAATGTCCATCCCTTTTAAGGATGTTTTAAACTAGCAGAATTCCGACTAAAAAGGCAGAATAGAGCTACGATTAACCTAATAGGATTGATCAACATATAGTAGTCACACGGGCGGTAGGTCTAAAAAACTACCTTCGAAAGGAAAGTTTACAGAATTGAGGGGGACTAAGCCAAATGTACCCTTAGCGCTCTTAACTAAGATATTGACCAAGCAAATCAATCCGCCGGGGCGCGCGAAGCCAATTCTTCGATATTATCGAGGTTTACAAAAAGAAAGTGGGGTCGATTTTAACGGGGTTTGACTGTATGTATATATAGATTCCGGCCTCCATTGTCCTGTCTCTGCCCACTTGTCATATTATTTCTACCTTTGTGACCAAGCGACTTCCACCAACACAAGATTGGCATTCGTAATATTATTATTGATGGGACATATCATTGATATCCCTGGGGTTCAGAAAACCAAAACTGCATCAAACCATCACATCGAGCCAAGTACGCAGGACAGAATTGGCTCACCAATAGTTCCCCAACTCAGCAATGACTTCTCTCCACTCCCATCAAATACTCCGACGCCATGCCTACTGTGTCGGCAGGAACCTCAGCCTTCTCCTATCGACGTTCAGAAATTCGCCAACCCTGCTCCCCTAGGTCTATGTGCATTTGCGCTCACGGCCTTTCTATCGAATTGCATCAACCTCAATGTGGGAGGTATACAAGCATCAGGAGTCAGTGTTTCCTTGGCTTTGAACTATGGCGGCATAGCGCAGGTGTTAGCTGGCATGTGGTATGTTCTATTCATCCGAAATACTAGACATCCCCATGAGACCCTATCCCGTTGTTTGTGACATACAGGATTAATAAGATCAGGGAAATGGCGGTTGGAAACACTTTCGGCGCAACATCCTTCTGTTCTTACGGTGCCTATTGGATTAGTTTTTCTCTAATCTCAACATTTGATACTGCCAATGCTACGAAAGATACAGCAGATTCAGTCTGTCAGAACGAAACTTTGATGGGCCTGTTCATGCTGGTAAGCCACCCGCATAGAATCTAAAATTCAGGCATTATCACATTGTGGGGATATCTACTAAGAACCGTGTATGCAGGCCTGGTCTATTTTCACTACACTGATGCTCTTGTGCACGCTCAGATCCAGTCTTGCAATGTTCTGTTTGTTCTTTTTCCTGGACATGAATTATCTCCTACTTGGAATTGCGCATATTCAATGCAGCTCTCATGGCGAAATTCCGATTGCAGTTCAGAAGGCAGGTGGGGTTTTTGGCCTTTTGGCTGCATTTTCAGCTTGGTACAATGCCTTTGCTGGCATTTATAATCTCAATACCGGTTTTTTCATAGTTCCCCTTGGTCACTTCCCTTGGTCTCCGGCTTCTCATCTTCATCGGGCTAAGGCTAAAGATCTGTGACCTCGGATTAAGAACTGCAAAAGAATAAGATGTGATTTTTCCATGGTATAAGCGTCTGTCATGGATAGGGGTATGACGAATTACGTACAATATAGTGAAGTATTCTGGATCTTGCATTCTGTTTCTCTATAGAGGAATATTATATTTCAAATCCCTTGCTTGAAAATTTGGACCTCAAAGTAATAACTGCGAAGATCTGGGCTTAGCATAGTCCATCTAGTCGACAACTAGTAATTATATTTTAGAGCCCAAGAGTTAATACAAGGCCTTAAAGTTAGTAGAACACTTTATTAAGATAAGGTTTACCCCAAGGTTGGAACCATGGAAGGCTCCCGAGGTCCTATGCTTGTTCCTAACTTTTAGTCAAGACGTCTACGGGACGCCCAAAGATAAGAGCTGTCTTTAGCATGTTTGACTCCTATCACTGATGTACTAACAAAACAAAAGTCCCCTGCTTTAGGTAGCGACTAAGCATTCGAACCCTGCTGATGACATCCTGTTTCATCAGCGACCTAATTTAGTCAAGACTGTGGAGTTGCATCGTTTTGTTTAGCGTATCTCCACCCCCATGTGATGGACCCTAGGATCGTGAAGATACATAAGTCCTTTCCCCCCCTCCTGTCAATGGGGACGTAGCGAAACAACAGACAAAGAGGGCGCGAATATAGTCAATATTGCGACGGCGCATGAAAGACCGGAATTCCTAGCCATAATGAATAGTAGAAGTACCTTAAAGTGTTCGGTCAGGGTTCCTAGGCATCATACGTCATAATCGGCCTTACCTATTAGGGTTCTGAATTTATTACTTTACTAGTTACTGTACTCCGTGGGAATTTACTCATTGCACCCGATGGAGCGCAACCACGCGATAAAAATAAAAAAGAAAATGTAAAAAGAATGTTCGGAGAGGTCTGTCTCTGGCTCCTGCGGCTGTTTTTCCCATTTTTTTCTCCACTTATGCACAAAGGCTGCCCGGAGATTTAGTTCCTAGATTTTTAGTGGAGAACTTCTACGACTGTTGTACTTGATACACAATAATAGCGGAGAGTTTGTAGGGCTCTGTACTGTGTACCATATTTCCTACCTTGCTATCTGACATACTGATATCCACCCTGCCTCCCCCCAACCCCTATATCGACAAATAATCAATACGAAATGAGACTAATAAAGCGGACAGATATTTACGGATGGTTCAGACGCGCCAGGGCTACTTGCTCAATGGGCAAGTAGAGAATGTGTGGTCGAAGGACCGAATCACGCTCTGGAAATACTGGCAGTATTTTTTGTATATGAGTCTGACACAAAAGATACCTGTATTATTACTAGGACTAGACCTCATAGGGTGCTGCTGGAGGATAGGACTCTAGGGGTGATACCGCTAGGACATGCGGCAGAATGAAAAATCGATTATTTAGCAAGGACAAAAATGCGGGTGAAACAAAAAGATCCAAGATACGTTGAGTGGGGTTGGAAAGGAGACGCGGAGCAGTGAAGGGCAATTTAAGAAAATACGAGAGTGGGTAAGGGCAAATGAAGAATTGTTTACGACTAGAAAGGGTCTCAGGGATTCGAATGCATTGCACCACATTACACCAGTCCATAATTTCAATGTAATTTTTTAATGGTTTAATGACTACTCGGTACTGATTTACTATTTAGGGACTCAAGCCGGTCAGTTGGTGCAATCAAAAATTTTTGAGTTTTTGGGGCTTAATATGTTTTAGATTAGTGGACGCAGGCCGATCATGATGCGAGCTTGGCGTTGAGGCTGGACGGTACTCTGTACACACAATCCATGTTGTTTGGGCTCCAGGAATGTGGAATCCGAGGCCAGGGCCAACAACAACAACACGATAGGCTATGACAAACAATCCAATTCTTAAAGTCTCTCTCAGCCACGGTCCCTGCTCCACCACAAGAAACCAAACCTAGCCCGTGGGTGGTCTAAATCGTATGCATGAGTATGTCAGTGTGCGTTTTACTAGTGACAACTAAGATATGGAACTCTTCCACCCCCTTTTTCACACCATCTACTTAGCATTTTGGTAAATGGTTCTGCCTAGTTCAGACAAAACCTATATGAGAGCACTTCTATCGGAATTTACATCACGGAGTACAATGTCTTCATGTATAGCGATAGAGAGAATTTATAAGTTGATAGAGTCGAAACATCAATAGAGTGTGATTTGGGGTTATGCCGGCATTACGCAAGACACGTACTTTGAAGTATGCACGTGCATACATCTATCGAAGTATTTTACCAAGAAAAGGTCTAGACATAGAATATACCGAATACATCCAAAATCCAATTAGGGATATAGCGCGGAGGATAAATCGTAAGCCACAAATTTGCCACAAACCAACATCCCGGTTCCCCGAGCCCGGAGTGATCATCCACTGCACTCCCGCTGATCTCCCGTGACTCCGTTCGGAGAAGGACGAAAAAGTTCCCCCTTGGCGCGCACGCAGTGCGCAGTGGACGTTCCTCACGGGTAGTGTCACATAAAGCTCAAAATAATAATGACACCCAAGCCTGGCGATCCCATTGTCGATCCCGACAACGAGTCACTAATAATGTTGACGTGCTAGTAATGGTCCCGGTCTTCCCATCTCCCACCCTTGGCATCCATATAAGGAGATTCGAGAAGAACGTGTCATTCGTTGGATTAAATTGGATATTGAGATCCATTCTCTCTCCGCGTCTCGTCTCTACATCTTGTACATAGATATCCCGCCCATTGTTGTTTTCACCTCCAAATAAATACGCTGAACCGAGGCTCACTAGAAGAATATCTAGGAGAATTTACGGGGTTTCAAAAAATTGTAAATTAAAATTAAAATCCAAAATATTCTTCCATTTAACCCCATTGTCTTTACCTTTTGGGGGTGGTCCTTCTAGCCCACGCCCGGGTTCATTGGACAGATTTGATGGAGCCCGTCCACGCAATTCAAGAAAAAAAAGATAAATTGAATTGAGAAACCAAGAAACTGAGAAATCCATGAAAAAAAAAAAAAACAAAAACAAAAACAAAAACAAAAAACAAAATAGAGGTGGATCTTATGGTAGTCAGGGTCCGAGGCTAGGTTTTTTTTGGGTTTGGGCTGTGGGTTTGAAGGATTATTTGAATTGATAATTCTACCTTGGAATTGCTTAAATCCGACGGTTTTTAGGATTTTTAGCGCTTTTTAGCGCTCTTTTTATATGCCCGGTTGGGACGCCATTCCCCCACAGCCTCTTCTTTCTCCGTGTGACGATTCATCACAACAATTTTTCCATTGGATATTTGGGTTTTTGTTTTGCGACTGCATATTTCGATTTTATTTCTTCCATTTAATTCCCCTTTGGATCCAGTAATCCGGAATTCCCCGCAGGTTAGTTACCGAAGGGCGATCCTGAGGACGTGATCCTGATCAATGCCAATCGAGAACTCAACCCATCAATATCCACTCGCTGTTTTATTCGGATTTTGCTAACACTGTCGACCTGTTCTTGTGTGGCAGAATTAGAGTCCTAAGTCTGTTGCAATCACCTTAGTGACATACACCCATGTCCTGTGCGCATCCATCCTATCACCTTCTTCGCTTTTTCTAATCATATTTGCAGAAGACTTCTTGGGTTGGCCATAAATACTTCTAGCTTCCCCCTCCTTTTCCCCATCATGAAAATACACGAGCTTGATCCACGCTCCTTCAATCGAAATCATCCCCCTTTACTCATCTTTACTTCTGTTTCTCTTGTCGTCGACAGTCAATCATGCCGCTGTCGCCAGACGACATCAATCTGGATGATTCGACCCTAGATTATCTCCTCGAGTTGGATTTGACTACTTTTGATTCCACTTCTCCCCAATCGTTCCTTACCCGTCGTTCTCCCGCTGTCGCAGAGGCATCTATAGCTCCTGCATATCAGCCAGGATACAATTCATATGGGGAGTCGTTGTCGCCATTTGGCGAACATTTCACGCCCGCATCTCCGTCGATTAATCTTCAGCCGAATCAGAACATCCCACAGTATTTTACTGTCAACATTGTAAACCACCATGACCCTCAAGGCCTAGCTATAGCCTTTCACGGCTCTGCGGGTGATTTCAGTCGTACCGTCCCTCCCGTGGCTTCTCCGTTGAAGTTATCCCAGCAAAATCAGAACACCGTGCATTATGTTACTGTCAACAGTAATGATTATCCGTCCCCAGCTACCGCGTTTGATGGCCCCGCGGATGACACTATTTGTACCGCCTCCCCTGTGGCCTCTCCGCCTGGACAGGTACCACCTCGGCAGGGGCGTTCCCAGCCAGGAGCCATTGCTCTAGGGCCCATAAGCAATGGCGTTACCAATGGTAAAATGTCCCATAGTCCTAGCCACGGACGTGAACAAGCGTGAGCCATCTACCCCTAGTCTAACGAGAAAAGAGAGTCACCAGCTTACTGACAAAACTCTCGCTATTTCAGTGACCCAGGAACCATTTTTCGATGCGATTACCCAGGCTGCACATACGGTGGCACTTTCACGATCAAGGGATCACTGACGCGCCATCATGAGGAGCAGCATACCTCCCGGCGATCATTCCCTTGCCCAACATGTGGCAAGATTTATTCCCGGAACCATCATATGGCCGACCACCACCTGAGGGCTCACGGAAAACAGGCTTGAGGTTAATGAATATGGGTGTTGGGATTTGGAATTTGGAGCATTGAGGTCTATACTAGAGATAGAACCGGGGCTTACATGAGCGGGCGTTATAATTGGGTCTGTCTACGAAAACGGCGCGGCGATATGGCAGGAAATTATTGTTTCCAGCACGAGCATAGGATATTTAGATATATGGGGGGTTCATGGGATATATGGATACTGGGATATATGGGAGTATACAGGTAACACACTTGACGTTAAAGAATCTGCCTTAAATTTGCTATGCCTTACCCCATAATTGGGGATTTTGTGACACCTGATCTTGTCTGGAATTGAGAACTTGCTTTTTGTTTTACCATATGTGCATCTATAAAAGCTACCGATGGGACTTTATTGATATTTTGACTTCCGCATTGAAACGGAGTGGCTGCTAGTATCTCGTTCCGAGGTTTTCTATATCAATGCGGCAGCTAGTCGCATGACGAATCCAGCATACATGTAAGCATCTAGCCGTATGTGAGTGGAGTACTGTTCTGATTTTGAACTGTTAAATTTGGAAGGCAATGGGTCTTCATAACGACGACGAGGAGTTTTGAAAACCGTCGAACTAGGAATATGACCCACCTAGGTCCCGAATAGGAGATTTTGTTTTTGCTATGGTCTAGGGGTAAAATGCCCGGTTTTTTCCCAAAAACACCTAATGGTCGAAGCTGAGCTCTCTAGCGCCAATTTTGAGATAAGTGCACGCACTATCACGCGCATGTTTGAAAATGTTAGACCCAGTGCCACGTGGCCTGGTACTATAGAGAGGATGGTGAGTGGACAGGAGGCAACGGCGAGGCAACAAGGATCTGTTCTTCGGGGGAGAAGGGAGGCGAAAGGCCCACTAGTGCACGGTGCTTCATCTTCAACAGCTCCCGAATGCTGTTCAGGCGGTAGAATTAAATGCAATGTCAAATGGATCCTGAAGATCCTAGAAGATTCTAGGCTAAACCTTCTAGGTTAGGGGCGCCCAGGTGGATACAAACTTCCGCTTCGGGACTTGGTCAGCAATGTATTGGGAAAGGAAAAATAAAATAAACATGCAACTGAGAGAAAAAGGAAGACAGAGACAACAAGGGGAGGTCCGAGTCCACAGACGGATTGTTAGGTCCCCGACTTTTCATTCGCTTGAAGATTACATCCGGCATTCGCAATCTCATAGAATCCTAACACCTCAGGTAAAAGTTTTAAATGAACCCGATAGGACAAAACCTCAGGGATTCCGATTGCATTACCGTTATTTTACTAGTGCAAAAGCAGTTCGGTTGAATATTTGAGGATCTCCGACTGGGGTACTCCGTATAGTAAATCACGATTTAGTTAGAGTGAAGAGGAAGGAAGCATTGAGGATGGTATATTACTTGATAGACATAATATTAGATGTATTTTTAAAATGTAAAAATTGTCTGGTGAGTTCTTTGCCCAACTTTTGTAACCAGTTTGTTGTACGGGGATTTTATAGAGTGGGCATGGGGTCGAGAACCCTCTAGGTGCTATTGGCCCAAGCCCATGCAACGTGTTAACCGGTACCTGCGTTCGGTTTACCTAGAACTTTTCATATTGTGTTTCCAGAGTTTTTCATTTGAAACCATCCCTTTGCACACCGCTTAGATTTTTGGTGGGTCATTGGCGGCTGAAATCTCCCGGGGTGATGATCCCCCGTCCTCGCGCTAAAGCATCGGGATATAAACGGAAGGTTGGACTATTGATATTTGTTACAGGTAATTTCCCTAGCAAAAATGCCTTTGATTTTGTTCCCATAATCTGTCCCTGTTAAGGACAGTATTTTTTTAGCGGTCTTCGCTGATTGGTTCTAAATATATACAACAAAAGCAGGAACAATCAAAAAGGGAAATGGAAATAGAATTTTTTTTTGGAAAATATCAAAACCAAGGTAATTAATCCCCGTTCCTACATCTGGCTCTGTCTCAATACGGCACTTAAGCAGGCCAAACTGCGATGTGGCGCTCTCTTTATACGGAATAGGTAGTAATAGTAGTAGTAGTAATACGGAGTAAGAGTTGTGAAGTAGGTGAGTCTAGCCCTTATCCATGACCTTCGGAGTAGTTTGCTTTTAGTTTCATTTCCTCTAGGTCATTTTATATCCCTGACTCGTTTTTCCTTATCATATCACATAATTCAGAAGAAAAGGACCTTTCTAGGCTGTCATGGCCCCCAACAGCCACCCGAACCTTCCGCGCTTGACTAGAATAATAAATATAAATGTAGTCACGAAAAAATGGGTTGAGAAAAAAGAGAGGGAAAAAAGGAAAAAGCCAGTCTCCACCCGTCCCTGTCCATCATGTCCATGGTGAAGTGCTGCACACTTGCCCCCGGTGATTCGTGCAAAACGGTCGCTTTTCCTGCAAAAATTTGATAGACCCGGCTGGAGACACCTCGTCCGATATATCGAAGTACCACATGTCGATCTATTTATTTCACTTTTTTTTCTGTTCATATTTAGGTGAAATTTTGAATTAGCCACATCGACTTCAATAAATACCCAGGTATTTCTCTTCTCCAGCATGATGTTACGGAAATCTAACCCAGGTTCCTTTCTTTACTCCGTGTTTTCTCGCTTCCATCCTTTTACTGGTAGTTGAACATGGCGTGGTCGTCACATAATATCGACCCAGACGTTTTCGAATTTATCTCTCAGCAGGAAGGGACGACATCCGGTTCCAATTATCCCCGAACAGCGCTTGGTCATCCTGAGGATACCTCCACATGGGATTATTTGTGGGGTTATGCCCAGCCGAACCATATGAATAGCAACAATACACAGCACTTTGTTGTCAACAACAGCGACAACAACGTTCAGATGGTACCCACATCATCTCCAGGCTCCGCGAGCCACACCACGAGCACCACCCCTCATGTGGCTCCTTTTGTACAGGAACCACCTTGGCAGGAGTCTCCTCGATCCGAAGTCATAGACAGTGGCGTCAAGAACGACGAAACCCCCAAGGTCCATGATCAGGGACGTGACCAAGAGTAAGCTATCAACCCCGTAGTCTCCTACAAGGAAAGAAAGTCATCGGTTTACTAAGAATATCCAACTATTTTAGTAATCCAGACACCATTACCTATCGATGTAACTTGGACGGCTGCAAATACCCTGGCACGTTCACGACCAAAGGATCACTGATCCGCCATACTCAGGAAACGCACGATAACCCGCGTTCATTCCCCTGCAAAATGTGTGACAAGTCCTTCAGCCGAAAATCCAACGCGAAGACCCACCTGCTTAGAGTTCATGGGGTGGTGCAAACTTGAGGTTTCGATACCATTATACTGGGACGTTTGATATCGAACCACTATTTCTGATTACTAGCGCCTATGGTTGGGAATGGGTACGGAAACAGCATTGCGATGGATCAGGGATGTATGGATGAATATGGGATAATGGGATAATGGGATGAATGGGGTAATGGGATAGTGCACAACAGGTAATGATTGGGTAATATGTAATATATAATATGTGGAAGATTTCATTCAATTTTCATAACCGTACAAAACACAGCTCTGTCTGTGTTCACAAGGCTTTCTTTCAACGGCAAGGTCAGCTTCAGTACCAAGCCTCGTTACCCCGAAGAACCCTACCTTGAAGGAAACAACTCCATTTCTATTTGAGATCAACAATGCCCGGAAGGCTTCAAATTCGATGGCAAAAGGTACATGCAGTGCTGAGAAGAGACTTCGGTGTCCTCGTGGAACTGACCATAACATGACCAGCCAGGACTGTGTCTCGAGCTATAAGCCCAGATTCCCCGACAGCTAAGTGTTAAACGGTAGGCATTGTGCTATTTCACTAGTGCTTGCTTGTATGGACTTCCAGTTCTGTGCCACTGGATCATCCAAAAAAATATGTGAACTCACTTCCCATGGAGTTGTTCGCAATATATATCAAGAAGAAAAATGAGACACTGCTCCTATGGGCTAGGTTCTCTTCAACAATGGGCCATTGAAAGACACAGCTTTGAACCAGAACAATGGTAAGAGGCGCGAGCAGATTCCTTCTGGTCGCCAGTACACTAGAAGCCGGGGTCAGGGCAGCCTGTTTTAGGCCAGAACAACAGAGGCTAGCATGACCAATCGACCCTCTGAGAAATTTCATAGGCAAAAGAGTGGTGTGACCCTATAGTTGGCCTGGCTATAACCCACCAGACTAGGATGCTAGCGCCTTTGCATTGTGTTTCTAATGGGACTGCAAAGACTAGCATCTCTTTTGTTTTGTTATCTTTTTTATACAGGGCCGCACTGAGCAGTGAAGAAGACAGTCGTTATTTCCGGGTTTATTTGTTTCATTGTGCTGGTTGACTAGCTGAACACCATGCCTTCTTCAGAGCTCGCGCACGGCCGCCGAAAACGTACTAGTCTGGGAGAACACCAGACCTGCGCCAAATTGTTAAGAGCAGGGTTGGCAAAACCTCTGAGTCAGGAATTTTTTCGGGGGGTTTTTATCCAAATTAGGCTGGAAACCCATGCTCGTAAGGAAAGGAAAAAGTACCAGAATGAATGTGGCTTAGGGCTAATACAAGCCCTAAGAAGAAGGACACTATGGCAGCATAGCCTCATGGTGTCATGATGTGGGTGCCAAGCAGACCGTTTGCCTTACGAAGGCATACTCTTTCTTGTCCGAAGAAATTCGCAAACCGCTAGCCCGTCGTGAGTAATGTACGTTGTTGAAATCACATCGACATGATTCACGTTGAAGTAAGGTTCACCGCCCGTGCTTCCGCCCTGGATATTTTGCCGGGCTTTTTTGTTTCCTTCCGCGGACCAGCTACTTATTTTATTTCTTCGATCATCCAGTTCCTCCAGACCGATCGTCCACCGCTCCGATTACGATGAATCACATTTCACCGGACTGAACAACACTCTCCCTTCAACGAGCTGCAATGGCCCAGTTCGTTCCGCGTAATGCATTCCCCCATTATGGGGCAATTCCAAGGTCCTATTTTTTAGGACACCACAGGGCTGGTCTGACCAAGATGAAGAGCATGCTCTCCACTATTGACTACGTTGTCGAGTGTCGTGACTACCGAGCCCCTGTGACCTCGATCAACCCCATGTTCGAGGAAGCCTTGGGCAAGATGCGACGACTGGTAGTCTACACTAAGAGAGATCTGGGAAGTATTCCCAAATCATCTGCCCAGAAAATAGTAAGTGTTTTCTCTACCATAGATTCAGATAACATGTTGTTGTTGAGCATCAGCTAATGCAGCTGCAGACAGAACGCAAATTGCAAAGTTTTGATCCAAAGAGCGCCGTATTCTTCACTAGCTCATCTTCCCGCCAAGATGTCAGCCAGATAATCAAACACCTTCGAACCGATGCCGAAGCTCCCGATAAGTTAGTAGGCTGTCGAGTGTTGGTTGTCGGAATGCCTAATGTTGGCAAGTCAACACTGATCAACAACCTGCGCAACTCAGGCACGGGCAAAGCCAAGGCTTTGAAAACCGGCCAGCAACCCGGTATCACGCGCAAGATAGCTACGCAGGTGAAAATCATTGACCGCGAGAATGGGTCACATGTCTACGTTCTGGACACGCCGGGAGTGTTCATGCCGTATGTCCCGGACGCGGAGAATATGCTCAAGCTGGCTCTCTGCGGCTGTGTCAAGGACAATGTCATTTCAGCGATCACTCTCGCGGACTACTTGTTGTATCATATAAACCTGAACGACCCGACAGTATACAAGCGCTGGTCGGAACCGACAAATGATGTGGTTCCGTTGATTGAAAGTTTTGCGCGCCAAACTGGCCTGCTTGCAAAGGGCGGAGTGCCGATGATGGATGGGGCCGCGCTTCTTTTCATACAGAAGTGGAGGCAAGGAGAGCTAGGTCGATTTTTGGTGGACGACCTAGAGGCAGAGCAACAACGACGGGAAGATCCTACGCAAACACCGCGCATGAGCATGACGCAGGCCTTGAGAGTGGAGAGGACAACTCGAAAGAACAAACCGGATACCACTAGCAATCTGTAACATACTGTACATATATATAATGAATCTTATATAATCAAGAGGATATTGGTGGATATTTTGGAAATGATAATCAAGTGGTGTCATTACGAACAAACGGAGCATGATGCTTGAAATGTGAAGATTTTGCAGAAGCACCTGTAACGCCCAACCCAAGCAAAGGACAGAAATGGAAGCAGGGAATCTTTGACGCAGTGTCTATATCAAGAGATCTTGTCCAAAAGGCGGCGGCGCCGCCTATCCACAAGCTCTTCCTGGACCTCATCCAGCGTTGGGAGTCTCCATTCCACTCCATCGCCGGCATCACCAGGTAGAGATTGCCAGCCATCTTCAGCATCATCCTCTCCTTGATGGCGCAGGTGTTCAACGGATTCCTTCTCCTTCTGCTTCTCATACGCCAATAACGTGCCATCTTCTTCATCAAGGCCATAGCCAAAGTAGTTGGCATCGACCTTCCTTGTCGCAATATCTCCACCGCGCCCAGACACAGCTTCTTCCTCCGCCGGTCCTTTCGCACTAGTAATTGCAGCCTCGATCATTTCTTTGACACCAGGTAGGTCCCGGGCACGGCCGTAGTATTTATAGCCTCTGCCTCCGCCGGGAATCTCGCGCCCTTCATCGTCGTAAAGTCGGTTCGATCCACGCATGTAGTTCGGTCCGCCCAGGTTACGGATTTGCATTTCCCACGCCCATTTCTCGCGCATGAGCTTGTTGATCTCATCGTTGAGATCGCGAATCTGGTAGTCGCTCAGGCTTTGCACGTGGATGCGTGATACTTTTCGGGAAATTTCTTTGACGACTTGTCCGCGCCAGCGCTCGCATACTGGCACGGTGTCGATGGATGTGATCGCCTTGGGGCGTCGTGTGCGTGAGATATCAATGATTCCGAGGTCGGCTGCTTGCTGCGCTCGGAAGCGGAACAGCATCGACTGGGCTTTTTCACTGTTGCGTGCCTGTTACATAGCGGGGACTTGGGTTAGCAAAATGTGACTCGACTTGGATATAGGAATTTCTTCATGGATTTGAGTTCAAAAGGGTGAGTCTCACCATTATGAATAATTGACCAAGTCAGCGACCCGAAGAAGTCGGGTATCGTGGGCGTTGGCAGGGAAGAATCCAGAGAGGAAATCATGAGCTTGACAGCTTGAAGTGAAGTTGCGCGGTAATTGCCGCTTGCCGCGCGGATATCACGTGCCTTGTTCCCAAATATCACCAACGTCAAGCACCCACTCAACAGCCATATCTGGTTAGTTTGTTGACACTTAAGAATATATGGTTTTTTGTCTTAAATTGCAGTCAAAAAACTTCAAAATTTCTTATAACCCTTGACCGATAGTATAGCTTTATTCAGAAGCAACAGGTTGCGTCATAGGAAACAGCTCGCTTCCACAATATATATAGATAGGCATTTCTCCTTAGTTCACATTTTTTGTGAGAATATTGAACATGTACATAATCAGAAGCTTATTCCAAGTTTAAGAAACCCCGTCATTGAAAGAATATATACTGGCATGGTCACCTGGAATTTCGGTTGGTAGATTTTATGGGAATCGAAGAACCAAGCAGGTCGCTTATATCCGTCAGAATATCAGAACAGTACTCCAGTACAGTATTTTACATCACTAAAGTCAACGTGGCGCTCAACTTGCCAGGATTCTGAGCTTCAAGGGATGGAAGTGGAACAAGGAATATTTGGCTAGATCTACTACAACTTAGAAACCGATTGGATGGGGTTGTCCTCCAAAGATGCACTGCCTATAGTCATGATAGTCAGGCAATTCTAAAGCAAATTGAAAGAAAGCAAGAAAACCGAAAACTAATTAGATGGAGAGTTTCGTGAGTTGTTACATTCTCGTTATTGTAGATAGCCTAGTCCACCCGTGGAGCATATTTACTCATTAACACAAACCGAGACAGAAAATGAACGCCGGAAAATACAGACCAAGGGATAAAAGCTTGGCCCTTCAAACAATATGAACAAGCCAAAGGCCAGCAGAAAAGACTGGAACATC